GTCCTAAAAAAGGATTGTGGTATGCCTGGTCCTGGGATGTAGTAGCCTCCCCTCCCATTAAACTTTCTGACATAAAAAAACGTAGTCAACCAAAAAAAACAACCCAACCATCCAGGACATCAACTAATTTCCCATGTCAACTATTTTAAGAAGTCTCGGTTTGCTAATTTAGAAAGGTTAAGGTGGCAAGTAGCAAGCTATATATGTTCTCAAAAAGCTGCGATTAATATCATATATTTTGGAAAAAAAGGATTGCCTACTTTCCCGTCGATCTCATTCAATACTTGTTTTGAATTAGATGGCAGAACTGACGGAGCAGGTTAAGCAGAAAACTAAGAAAATGAAGAAGGTGTTTAGCACACATGGAGGGAAGGTCGTCACAGTATGCAAGAAAGGATGGTACACTCTTCGAATCCGTGTCTTCGAATCCGTCTCAAAATATAAGAAGTGATCGATATACCAAATGATGCCTTTGAGAATCTCAACGTAAAAATTTAGAATGTATGCAACGTTGATACTTTGATATATAAAAACCAATTGTTCTTTAGACAGAAAAAATGCACGCGTTGAGAAAACGTCATTCCTTGCTTGATCTCCATGGTCGAGTTCATGGTGTAAGTGTTGGTGTATATCATTATAATTATGGCCAAATTTTTTTCGTGATCCTTGTGATGATACCCTACTTTTAAATAGACTTCTGTGGTGAAAAAACTATTAATTGTAATCTTGTGGTGAAATTCGTTATCAATCATAGTCCAAATTGGATTTTTCCTCATTCTTCTGTCATTTGTAGAGGCAAAATTGTTATTTTCGTTTTTATTGATTCCATCAACGAATCATAAAACGTTATATGGACATAATTTTTTTTTTTTTTTTAAACTTTTAGAGCTACAATAAAAAAAAATAAACAATAAAATTACAAGGTTCATATTATCAAACTTTCTCATTTCAAGAGAACCAAGAGTTCAAATTCAAGATTTAAAAAATCACAAAGTACCTCGCCGCGTTTAGATTAGAATATAAGTTATTATGCAAACATTGCATTTACTTTCATTTTAAGAACAATGATGGACGGGATGTCTAGGGTTATGTGAGAGAGAGGGGGGAAGGTGGTGGGTGGGCTGTGGCTGACAAGGGTAGGGATTGGGGAGGGATTTCATTTTTCTTTTTCCTTCTATTTTTGTTGATTATAAAAAGTAGAATTACCAAAAAGAAAAGAAAAAAGAATGGAATGATCTTTTTACCCTTGCATGTGGATGAGATTTTAACAGAAATTTCAATTTGGATTACGATTGATAACGAACTTCACCACATGGTTAAGATTAACACTTTTTTCACCACATGGGTCGATTTAAAAGTAATATCTCACCACAGGGATCAAGAAAAAAATTTAGCCTTATAATTATATATTCATGTCTAGATTATAGAGCATTATCAAATATGAAGGGTTCAATTATTTAATTAGGGTTTCAAGAATTCAAGGCTTGACGCCTTGTATTTCTCCCCTTCAATTATCTTTATTTTCTTGTACAACAAGTGAAATTAATTTGGTTATTTGAAAAATCAACAGCTTTTATCCAATATATTACAGCACTGTTAATTGAATCAGCACATTTCAACGCTTCAGCAAAACAGCGTTCTCCAAACATGAACTGATTATTTGTATAGGAAACACATACAGAATCGAACATGCATATACATGTTTACCAGGCCATTAATAATTTAATATCAAGCATGCATGGGGTAGGGTTTAATTTCTACAAGCTATAATTTAGGGTTTAGGGTTCAACCCATTACATATGCACTTTCTTGGTGCGCCCTATAGCTATCAGTCACACAGCTGCAACTACCAGCACATTCGATGAAGGAGCTCTTGCCAGCATCAGGTCCTTCAGGTTCAACCTTGAAGATGACACATTTCTAGCTTTCGCCACACTCGCAGTACGCTTCGTTTGCACCTAAATTTTCTACCTCCTCCTTCGTTTGCACCTAAATTTTCTACCTCCTCCTTCACCGTCATGGCCTCCTCTGTCACTATCCCGTCTTCATAACTGTCAAAGAATTAGGCATTATCGTTACGACCATATATGAACTAATTTACGGACACTGCTAGGCTCCTTACATAGGAGTCATTCCTCTTTCAGTAATAATGGGACATCAATATTTAAGGTCATAAAAAGAATGAATAGTTCCAATTATAACAATTGTACAGTAAATTGTTGTCACGTCGTCATTGAAAGGAATCCTGAGCCAAGTATTGTTCCTTGTACTTGTAAACTGTAAATAATTTAGATTAGTTTGTTCCTACGCTGATTGACATACATAACACAGGTGCAATTTACACCACAGCTGAAGAAGGCCTTGCAAGCATCCGGTCCTTCGGTCCTAGTGATGACACATTCCCACCCTTCGCCACACCGACAAAACGCTTTGCTGCTGCCGGAGTTGCCTCCCGCTGCGACAGACGTGCACAAATTAGAGGCAGCTATGACATGGTGCGTCTGACAAAACCCTTGAACTAGAAATACAATATAAACACAAATATTTTGCATCTTATTCTCTTACTATAAATATGTAACAAATTCGTACATCCAATCCAAACAAGACGAACATCCCTTAAAAAATATAAGTAGAAATAGTTGACCTTATAATCTGGTAATTAAAAACAAGTCCTAATTATCGTCGGCCTCTTGAGCAGCTGTTGGCCTTTCCTCAATCCTATTAGGTAAGCTTCTTAAGGTTGTACAGCACAAAGCAGAAGCAAGCAGTGGAGCGTGAGCGGTCAATATCATTCACGAGTCCATGGATGGCACTTGCTCTCTAAGGTTGGCTTGGCTATCAGAAAGCAACCAACCATTTGGGCAATGGAGGTGCGGCAAGGCGATTCCATATAGAAATCGTATTCAAAGATGCAAGACGCAAGGATGTCGACAGAGATACTACTAGTCGACCTTGAAACGGAAAAGTGAAATCTTATGACAAGAAAACGCATCTTGGAGCGCTGCCTTCTATACTTGTGCGATCCATAACTGCGAAATTGAAAAGGCAACTGATCAGGGGATCAGATTAGAGCCAAGGAGCTCAACAGATTCATTGTCTTCCATCATGCGGTAAGCAGCTAGGCCTCAAAGAGAATGTTCTTGGTCGGTCTCTTGATACGCAAACATTAGCTTTTCATCGTCACTATCATCCAAGTCGAGGACTGAAGCCTTGCCCGCGAAGGGAAAGTCCATGCCATTGAAGAACATGGAAGACAGTTGTCTCCAGTGTTGCCGTTCGGGATCCTTCTCGGCCACGTCAAAGCAGAACACAGGAGTTTCGAGGCTGGAGACCAATACCTTAGTGCCCACAACAGCATAAGAAAAATAAGGACCACTACGAAGGTGGAAGAATGGAGTTTCCGGCAGAGTAACCCATTCCTTGGATGTCTCATAAAGTACCTCAAAAGTGGGAGGGAGACACAAAGAAAAAGGAGAACGGGAGAGAGCATAGAGATCATTCTTCCCGTCGTCCCCGTTGAACTCAACCATACACGGTTGGGTTTTTTCGCCCTATGAATTCCTCGGTTATAATCCTGCGGCTGCTTTCAGAAAGGGGCTTAATGGAAGGATTCGATTCGACAATAGAACCTGTCTCAAACACATAAATCTTCTTACTTGCAGTCAATGAGGGTCCTGACTTTATCCTATCGGGTTCCAAGCCGCCGGCAAAAGTAATTTGGGAGCCGAAGACGCCACAGCCAGGCGAGTAGCAAAGATTCTCGTCATGTATGGAAGCCAAATTAATTCCGCAGCAGGGGCAATTCACCGGAGCCGGAGGAACAGAAGTCGCATACTTTGGTTGTCACGAGCTCATCGCCGTCAACAGTAGGAGGTTGAGCGTGAATCTTACAGGAGCATGATAACAAAATCTGCGAAATCGATGGAGTGGACAATGTAACGAGGGTGATCCCCCACGTACTGGACCATGCAAATATACAAAGACCTATTCTCCTTCTCAGACTGCACCCTCCCTCGTTTCACCTTCTGAGTCTGCAGCTCCTCCATCTCTCTCTACTCTCGGCTCTCGCAAACCCTAATTTTCTTTGTTTCTCATTTTATCATAAGAAGAATTTAGGTTGCATATATTGTTGAAAATTTGATATAATCACCTTAAAATACTACCTTACTCTAGATACTTAATAGTCTACAGATTATTGACTATTATCAAAAGGAAATGATTTCTGCACATTTTTTTTCATCTCTTATACAACTCTCTCTATTAGCCATCGATTGAAAAAATCTACGGAGAATAAGAGGCTAGAATGTGCGGAACGGGTATGCAAAAATCCAAGTTTCAATAAGCAAATTTGAAAATAGTTATTTATTTGAGGGAAATTCAATAAGCAAATTCGAGAAAGTTGTTTCGCTATTTTTTAATTCCAACCAGCAATTAAACTCTTAAATATGTGTTAAATTAGAATAATAGTGACAAAAACAAAAAAGATTTAAAGTGAGTGCAAATTCAATTCGGTTTATTTGTTCGTTTGAACTTTGAACACATTTTAACTAGGAAGTATTTTGCACTAACACCAGTGAAGTTGAAGAAGAAGAACCAAAGTGAACAATCCTCAACAGTATAGGGAGCAAATATGAAATTATCCATAAAATATAAAAAAATTTCATAAAAGAAAACTAACGAAAAGTTTAAAAAAACTTTAATTTGAATAAAAAATAACAAATAAATGTGTAATGAATAGTATCAGTTAAAAATGTAATTTTTCGTTAAAAATAAACAGTACCGAGACCTTTGTTAAAACTTTCAAAAATAAATTGAAGACGGTCCCACTTTTTAGTTTGAACACTCTCCCGCATTAATGACGTCAGTCACGTCATTTCCGCCGCGGAGCTTTCGAGCGATTTATACATGTCTCGAACCGGCCTCTAGCCGCATTGCCTCAATGTTTGACAGCCTGTCGCTGTTTGTCGCGGACAGCCCCTCATTTTACAATAAAACCCCCGAACCACCTCCCTCGCCGCCCTTATCTCTTCAAGGACAGAACCGTAATTATAACTCCAACGGCAAAACGGACCTACAGGTCCTACACCACCTCACTGGAACCGAGACTTCAACCTTTCCCGGTTTTCCCTTTCTCTCCCTCAACGGCTCTGCTTCTCTTCGAACCAGCGACAGAGATCTGCGATCACTCGAACGCGCAATTTCACATCCCTAACCCTAATTTCTGATTCCCCTTCTCGATCTCTCCGATTCGATTCGATTCGAATCGAGAGCAGCTGAAACGACGCCGCCGCGATGGGCGATTTCAACCTCGCGCTCGTCATCGTTGCCATTGTTCTCTGCATCATCGTCTTCGTCTTCAATGTCTACCTGCTCGTCAATTACCAGCACCCCGACGATAAGAACCAGGCATACTTCCCCAAATTCGTCGTCGTTTTGGGGCTCTCCGTCGCCGCAATTTCAATACTCATGCTGCCGGCCGACGTGGCCAACCGCCAGGCGTGTCGCCACGCGATATATAATGGCGCGTGCAATCTCACTCTCCCGATGAAGGATCTGTGGCTCGCAATCTATATCCTTGACGCCGTGCTCGTATTCTTCATCATCCCCTTTGCTATGTTCTACTACGAAGGAGACCAGGACAAGTAGGTACTTGTAGGGTTTTTGATCAAAATTATGATTTTCTTATGAATGCTCGTCAGATTCTTGTGTTTATTCAGCTTGCTATTGCTGATTTGTGAATTGAGTTTGTGTTTTTGTGTTCAGGAGTGTTGGAAAACGGATTGGAAGCGCTTTGTTGTGGGTAGGGGTGACTGCCATTGTCTGCGCTCTTGTGCTCGGAATCTTATACGGTTGGTTCGCTTCACTTGTCATTTTCATCTGAACATTTATTGCTTTGCACTGAAAGAATTGTTCTTTTCTCGACAACTGTGCGTCACGAGTTTTAAGTATTTGTTTGGTTAAATTTTGATTCTTTGTTGTACATGTTTTGTTAGAAGACTCTGGATTGTGTATCGTTTGTTTACTCTTTGATTGTTTACCAGGGCTAGTTGGGAAGGTGGACTTTACTATTAGGCACCTCTCTTCTTCCACAGCTTCCTTTAGTTCATTTGACTTTTCTAGCAGTAATGAATGCATAAATGGCGCAAAGGCGGTATGTGCTTGTCACATGGTGTTATATTGGCCTATGATTGCACCAACTTGGTCCTCTTACTCATATTGGTTTTATTTGTGTCCTGCTTCTCTTGTTCTTACAGTGCTCTGCATATCTTGCAAGTGATACGTCAGAGAAAACATGGACAATGCGTACTACCTTTCCAGAATATGTCGTTGCTCTTGCTACCATTGTTGGATCCGTGCTTTTTACCGTAAGTTTATTCCCAGAATTCGTCACATATTTGTGTTGCTATTGAATATGCATGTGATAACTGGGGAGTCTTTACCCATTTTTAGATAAATGAGTGTGGATGATGAAAAGAGATGAGCTTCTTTTGTTTAAATCTTGAGAACTATTGCTTGATGAAAAGATATTATAGTGTCATTGCATTTTCCCATCTACTTTTTATATAGTATAAAATATATTAAATCCACATCCTTCTTTATCATCCAGATATTCGGTGGTATTGGCATTGCTTGTCTACCGCTGGGACTCATATTTTCATTCATCCGGCGTCCAAAGGCTGTTATTACTCGGTCACAGTATATCAAGGTACTACTTTATTTTCTATCAAGCGTAAAGTTTAAGATGATGAAGATTGTTTTGATTGCTTATGGGTAGTTTTCCTTGTTATATTCTAGGAAGCTACTGAACTGGGCAAGAAAGCGAAAGAGTTGAAGAAAGCAGCTGATGCGCTTCATCAAGAAGAAAGAGGCGGCTCTAAGGGTAGAAAATGGCGTAAAAATGTAAAGGCAGTGGAAAAGGTATATCCAATTTCTGCATATAGTGTAAATTTTATTTCACAGTTAGGCATCAGTTTTTATTTTTTTGTTCTGTCTTGTTTTAACAACTTAAGTCATCAAAAGTTTTCTTTGCTTAATTTTGCAGGAGCTGCTTCAATTAGAAGAAGATGTAAAACTTCTAGAAGAGGTGTATCCTCAAGGAGAGAAGGTAAGGGGAATTACACATGCGACTTGTTGTACATTTGATATATATAGCTCTCTTCTATTCTAATTGTCCTGCGTCAATTCAGGCTGAGACTGCTTGGGCTATGACGGTTCTTGGGTACTTGGCAAAACTTGTGTTGGGAATTTTAGGGTGAGTGCTGATGTTGTCCATTTAATCATTGTAATATCTAATTATGCTTAGTGATTTAAACGGCTCTGGCTTCCTGAGATGATTGAGATGAGATAGATATTTGAGAGCAGAAAGTCTTAGACAAGGAAGAAGAAAGATTATGTTGTGGAAGAGAAATTCAAGCATTTGATATAACTTATAATTATAATATATGCATTTCACTATGGTATATTTTTGTTCGTGCTCACCGTAGGCAGTGATGTTTGAATATAGCTTGATTATGCTGTAACATTTATATAGCTTGGGTGGTTAGGAATACTTTATTCTCTGTAAGGCTATGACTTGTTATCATTCATGATTTTTGTCATAGCATCTACTGCCATAGTTCTTGTTTTCTTGTGTGTCATGCTTTCTTTAATGACTGATGATTTATTCATACTGAAACCTTTTGCCCGTGTTTTTCAGATTGATTGTTTCAGTGGCTTGGATTGCTCATATCGTCATATATCTATTGATTAGCCCTCCATTTTCTCCTTTCTTGAATGAAGTTTTCATCAAGCTGGATGATGTTTGGGGTACTTTCATAATATAGTTCTCTTGCCTCTACATTATATAGTTTCTTCTTCTGAATGAGTTTGATCTGCTTATCTTCTTCATCAGGTCTTTTAGGCACTGTTGCGTTTGCATTCTTCTGCTTCTACCTCCTGCTTGCAGTTATTGCTGGGGCCATGATGCTTGGGATGAAATTAGTTTTCATCACAATTCATCCGATGAAGTAATGATATTTCTGTTTCCGGCCTTACGTATTTAACAGTTTTTGTATGCACCTTCATAGTTTAATCACCAAAAGGCTTGGTTGCTCATAAATTTAATTTACTCATTTCAGGTGGGGTGCTACTCTAATGAATTCATTTTTATTTAACGTGGGACTTATACTGCTTAGCTCCATCAGGTTAGTATCTTTGTGATTCTCATTTACATATGAGATGAAGACTGCGTGTTCATGGTTCCCTAAATTTCTGAAGATTTCTATAAATCACGATTGTAATTATTACTGGTTTCCACTGTTTCAGTGTGATTCAGTTCTGCTCCACAGCGTTTGCATACTATGCTCAAGCAACTGCAGCACAAGAAATATTTGGTCACACCTTGCAATCTCTTCGTGGAATTAGATATCTGTACAAGTGAGCTGTTTTGTTTTCTCCGATTCAATCTAATTAGACTTGTATTATGTATGTATGTTCTACTGATATGGTTATACATTTTGGTATTTGCATTACAGGTACAATGTGTTCCAAATTGCATTTATTGTCCTGGCGGGACTGACGTTTGTGTACTATGCTGCTTTTGTATGTTTTCTAACTGTATGTTCTTTTTTTTTGGTTTATTAGTCTTTTCTACGGGCTTTCAAGAGTAAAGTATTATTGGTTTAAAATTTCAGGGATGGAGAAGAAAAAAACCTAGTGGCAGGTTCCAACTTTCGTCTTAATTTACGTTTTCCCTAGAGCAGCATGCACCCACTTGTAGCTGTTGGAATTCCCGGTTTTATCATCTCTTTTCGGTGTGTTTTCACATTTGGATGCATATGCCTAGTTTTGATCTAATGTTGAAAGGTTTTGGAGGAGTAGGCGGATATCATCGGAGTTTGCATTGGGTTAGTGCAGGGGGAGTAGCATGTTCAGTGTTCTCCTGCTGCCACCGCCGATTGTTTCCCCCCTGTTTGTATGTAAATTTCCTTTATTTGACTTCTTGTGTTATAAATTGGTTTGGTCTTGTAATCGTGTTAATCCTTTGCAGACGTGGAAACTGGATCCCTGGAACTGCCGTTGATGTAACATAACCACTGGGAACAAATTATTGTACGAGCAGCCATTTTAGTTTCATATTTGCTCACTTTTACGGGTAGCGATTTTAGACACGATACTATATGACTCAAAATCCCCACGAATATACTCTACATGAGTCATGACCATTTTACTTCATATTTGCTTTATGGTAAGCAGTTCGTTTTGTCTTTATGAAATGTGATATATACCTCTTCATGAGTCTCTGAACACACACTAGTGTTTCGAAAAGAGGAAATTGTAGCAATGGTTTCTCAACTTTAACTTAATTGGAGTAATAGTCTCTCAAATAAAATTCGTGACTATGGGTCGCGTAACTCAACGAATCGTGTATCTATGGTCTTTTTTGTCAACTCCGTTAGAATTTCTGTCAAAATGAGTTACGTGCGTGGCACATGAGGTTGAATCAAAGATAATTAGGGAAAACCAATTGACAAAAATGATAGCAATGGTCCTTCAACTTTAACCTAATTGGAGAAATGGTATTTCAACTTTAACCTAATTGGAACAATAATGCTTTTAACTTTAATCCAATTGCAGCATGGTCCTTTTAACATGAATCATTTTGACGAAATTCTGACAGTTGACGAAAGAATCATAGTTGCACTTTTTGATGAGTTAAGAGATCAATAATCATGAATATTTAGTTGAGGGACCATTGCTACAATTTGCTCTTTCAAAAATAACCATTTGCCTTGAAAAAATTCGGGCAGGATATTTTATTATAAAACGATTGCATTAGTGGTTATATGTTAGATTAGACAGTTCACGGAGTTCAAATCCACGTCGAATTGCAAAGGCACAACTTCTTTCCACATAAAGGGCCATTTGCAAGGGCAGGATTTGGAATCATCATGAATCAGATAGTTCACTTGTAAATTTTCCTTTTGTTACAAAGGAGGCCCAAGGACGAGGACGGGGAAGAGCGAGAGTTAAACTCTCTACAAGTCCTCAACTATGATTCAACAGTGTTCTGCAAATCACATCTGAATATATCTTAAATCTCAATGCTTAGTCCCCAATTCATGTGACTCGCCCGCGATGCTGTGTTCAGCAGTGTTTACAGTTGCAGACTTGCAGTGCCATCAGCCCGGGGCGGTTCATAAGGCGAATCCTATGCGAATTCTGTTGGTAATGACTCCCATTGTAGGCTGGGCTTCCAGTCTGCTTCTCTAAGCACCTTCAGCATCTCCTCCACCATAACTGTGTTCCTTTCGGACGAAAAATGGATTCCATCCCTGCCATATCAAGTGGTAAACCCAAGGACTAATATTCGATTAACATCCGATTAAGTGGGAAGATAAATTACCATGTGGAAACTGCACATACTTAGAGCAAACAGTAGGCCAGTCTTTTGTTTTCTGAATTGAAAGTCCATAGATCAACAGCCTTGACACCGAACTACCTGCACACCTCTAAACAAGCATCTAAAGACATTTTGCAGCACTCGTTTGTTCGAACCTGCTCCAGAATCCTGCCACTGATTTTGGTTTGAAACCAAGCTCTTAGAGCTGATTAGGAAAATAAAGAAACTAACACAAAATCGTCACCCTAGGCCCATAAACACCTGTAATTTAGACGTATTTGTTCCTCGTCGAGAGGATGAGCAGTAAGAGAGATAAAACGAATATTTTCCGAAAGATCTGGCAAACCAAATGTTTCTCTTCACTGTTAAAATCTGCATATTTTCATGTACAGATGGATCGAGACTTATATAAGTGCTGGAGCTCAGTCAATAATCTGTAGTTAGTGTCTGAATGGAGGGAAACCAAGAGAAAACTTGGACTGCAAGTATCAGAAACCTTGGTACGGATGTCTGCAGTTTGATCCTTTCTGCATACATAGAACTCTTAAGAGATGACAAGGACAAGCTGTACAATGACCTGGACTCGGTTCGCTTTACTGACTTGGATCCATATGTGTCTCCATAGTAACAGCCTTAACGTCACATACTCTATCTGACGAAGGGTACCAATACCCTTAATAATAGACCGGCGACATAAAATTTTCCATGGATTAATTCTGCAGACGCCTTTCCAAAATAACCATTTGCCTTAAAAATCCGAGTAAAATCTTTTAGTATCATGAATAAATCAGATTATTCAGTTACAATTCTCCTTTTGGTACAAAGGAGGCCTTAGGCCGAAGGCGCGAGAGTTGAACTCTTGCCTTGAACTCGAATGCTCTCTACTATTGGATCTACATACGAGTCGTCAATTATTATCAATTCTGCAAAGTAACAGGCTTAATACATCCCTTGCCTTCAGCTATATGATTCAGCTAGGTTTCTGCTAATCATATATCTTAAATCTCATTGCTTAGCCCCCACTTCATGGGACTTGCCGCAGCGCTCTGCTCAGCAATGTTCACGGTTGTGGTTCCATCAGCACTGGGCGGGTCATAAGGTGAATCCTCCAAAAATTCTGTTGGCAACGACTTCCAGTGTAGGCAGGGCTCCCAGTCTGCTTCCCTAAGAACCTTCAGTATCTCCTCCGCCACAATCTTGCTCCCTTCGGATGAAAAATGGATTCCATCCCTGTGCAGAACAGTACCAAACATACACACCCACCCACCCCACAAATGGTAAGTCCAACGATTAGCTTAATTAAGTGGAGTTGATAAACAATATAATGTCTGAATAATTGGAAAGATAATTTACATATGAAATTATACGTACCTAAAGCAAGTAGTAGACCAGTCTTTTATTTTCTGAATTGAAGTCCACAAATCAACACCTTTGACATCAAACTCCTGGCACACCTCTAAACAAGCATCCGAATATATTTTGCAGGACTCGTTAGTTCGCTTCTGCGGCGAAGTTTGATCACTGATTTTGTGTTTAGGAAGAACAAGATAAAGAAAACAAAGCTCTTAGAACTGATCAGAAAAATGAAAGATAGAACTCATCACGACAAAGCACACCTCAAGTTTTCACGTATTTGTTCCTCGTTGACAGGAGGAGCAGTAAGAAAGATGACCCGAGTTTTTTCTGAAAGGCTCTGGCAAAAAATATGTATCCGTTAGTACTGTTAGATTTATATGCATTACACACCAAGAAGTTGCTTATATAAATGTCATGATCCATGATTCCGGATCTGTATATTTTCACTGTTCTACAGATTATTACCTTTAAATGTTTAGCAATCTTCCGCATATTTTCTACATATTCATTAAGTGGTACATGAGCGCCTAGGCCCGACGGATGAGGATGCATTGAATCATTACCACCGAAATAAACTATCACCAAAGATGGCTGAGTTGTAGCATCCTGTATATGTCAAATTTAATCACACACATCAGCATCAAAACTACCACGTATTAGGAAGAAGTATCTCGTATGCAATTTTCAGACACCAATCGTACGAGCCATGTTCCATGCAAGCATAAACGCGCAGACATGCTATACTGATAGTTGGATTTGACACAAATGTTGAAGTCAGTGCGTCGTTGATGTGAATTTATACAGCCCTTTGAATGCATTGCCCATAAAGTCCCCAAGGCGAGATGTTGATGAACATATACCTTAGGAAAAACTTGCTCCAAAACCTGCAGAGCACGCCTCGAGTTCCAACCAGCATATCCTCGCAGCAGTACGTCCGCCTATGCTCGAAAAGGTTTAAGATCAGTGATGTTATTAATTAACATGAAACTTTATAAACATTTCATCTTTAGCAGTTCTCATTTTTTGTGAGAGAGATAGATGAAAAGTATGCGAGAGAAATGACGGAAATAAAGAATGGAGGAAAGATGATAGAGATGTAGAAGAAATTTAATAGAAAGGCACACAAAATGAAGACTAATACCGAAAAATCGTTTTAAGGTTTTTTCACTTCCAAGATTTTGTTTTCATTATTTCTTCTTTATCTCTTTTTTTCGCTTATATACATTTCTCATATTTCAAGCATGAAAGGTGAAAATTAAAAACAAAAAACAAAAAGGGCACCAACTAGAAGTTCTCTTAAACAAGGATAAAACTAAAAGACAATTACAGTACAAATTTACCAACAAACTAAAGAGACCCTGGAGAAGAATCGAAAAATAAATATAAACTGGGAAAAAGAACATAAATGAAAGAAACACGTATTGGTCTTTAGAAAAAAGAGAGAAATATTACTTGTACATGACTCATCATTTCAATGTGTAATAATTTTGAAATAATACGTATATGAAAAAACTAATCGTGCCACAGCCTTCCTTCTTACACCAATATATTTGACAAAGATGCACAAACAAATATATACATGGAAATCAAGACTACTTTCACTTTGGAAAAGTAACTATCAGATAAATCCAATATTTTGTACCTCATTCATCGAATCTTCCTTTCTTGATTCTTCGTTTAAAAGAAAAGGGCAGAAAGTAAAGTATGAGGTCCCCATTGTCAAAAATCCAAAATTCATCCTAATGGTGGTCCAAACATTGCTTTAACAACTAGTTCTAATTAGCTAGCATAATTAATTCCATAATAATTACTTGGGTTAACATCTCTTTATGTTTAAGCTGATTTTCAAAATATACCACAAAATTTTAATTTTCTCATATTGTACTAATTCTGAAATTGATGATGTGATGAGTGTAAGACTAGCTTTTAGGTTGACGTATACGCCACATTGCACCACGCGGACGAACAAATGAATCATCATCAGCCTTTGCTTCACTTAAATCAATGTTGTGTATACAAAAAAAAAGATAACCAATCGTATATTTTGGTCCAAACTATTGGGGGTGTAAGTAATATATAAGAACCCAAGAACAGGTCCCACACATGACAGGTCGTCTATTTAACAAATGACTAGAGGTTCAAACGCCAAATATATATATATATATATATATATATATATATATATATAAAGTATTTGGATCCTCTTCTGAGCCAAGAGATCCTCCTGACCAGAGCCAAGAAGAGATCCTCCTGACCAAGATATGTGAACCGTTGAATTTTTATTCAACGACTACAAACAAGGGAATTACTTTAAAGCTATAATAATTATAGTTGTTAGATAAAATCTAACGGCCCACTTGTCTTGATCAAGAGGATCCTCTTCTTGGGCTCAGGAGAGGATCTAAATCCATATATAAATTAATGGGTAAAGTACAAAAAAATACCTCAACTATTAGTGTCATGACACTTTCATACCTCATCTTTTAAAATTGACAATGTCATACCTCATCTTTAGAATTTGGTCCAATGTTATACCTTCCGTTATTGGCCATTTACTTTTCATTAAATACTAAAATAGTTTGATTCGGGCCCATTTTCTTATTAAAAAATTATTAAAAACTAAAAAATTTATTTAATATTTTTTAAATATTAAAATAATAAAAAAAAGTAAAAAAAAAAAAATTCCAATATGTCTTCCCCCCGCACCCACCCTCAGTTTGTCTTCCCCCCCTCCCCACCCCCTCTTCTCCCTCCTGCACCTAGAAAAAACCAAAAAAAAAAAAAACCCAGATCCCGTCGGCGGGAAATGGGTGCGGAAGAGGATGTGAAGAATGATGATAGTGGTGGATTTGGGGTTGGCAGGGGGTTTGGTTGGGGGGGGGGACGAACTGGGTTGGGTTGGGTTTATTTATTTAATTTAATTTTTTTTCCTCTTCTTCTTCCCCCTCTCTCTTCTTCCTCCTTTCTGGGTTGCAGGGGGTTTGTTGGGGAGGGGGGGGGGGGCAAATTGGGTTGGGTTGGGTCGGATTTTTTTTTTTTGTTGGTTGAAGATTAAGAAGGGAATAAGATGAAGATGGGGAGAGAGAGAATGGGAAGGGCCGAACATAGGGTTGGGTTGGAATTTTTTTTTTTTTTTTTTTTACTTTTTATTATTTAAAAAATATTAAATAAGATTTTTTTTTATAGTTTTAATAATATTTTAATAATTTTTTAATAGAAAGTGGGTTCCGAATAAAGTCCGGTCAACATTTAACTGAAAAGTAAACGGCTAAGTAACGGAATGTATAACATTTGACTAAATTCTAAAAATAAGGTATGACATTGTCAATTTTAAAAAATAAGGTATGAAAGTGTCATGACACCAATAGTTAAGGTAATTTTTTGTACTTTGTCTTAAATTAATACAATGTCAAATCTCAAGATGCAATCTGAATTTTTTAAAACTTATGGACTACGTAAAAAACGAACTCAAAGCTGAACGGTCGATGTAATTAAACTATGATTATCTTTCACCACTTTGTCTTTGCTTTATTGTCAAGGGCATCAACGATTATTATATGCAATATAATTACACTCAGATTATACATTTCCCAGAGTAAAAAATCCCAGACTCAGTTGCTGGTGGTCGAGATAATGGGAATAGGATCCTCTTTGGATCCTCATCAATCAATCGTGTTCATTTATTGTACATCGTGCGGTTATAAATCATTTTAAAATTTAAATTAAATATAAATAGTCTTTAACGAAAATTGTTCATATAATGTACGATGAACGAACACGATTAATTGAATCTCGGATCCCCATAAAGAGGATCCGGAAAAGTTCCTTGTCCTAGATAATGATAAATATACACTAATGGAACATTAAAGAAAAATTAAATAACATAAATTATTGATGGAAACTGACAGTTAAAGAAAGCTTTTTCTAGCTAGTTCATGAATGTGTGAACTAGAAGAGTTCAAATAAAGATAACAAGATCATGCATATAAGGACATCTATGCATACATTGTCAAGTTGATTTGCCAAGTTGAGGGTGGGATTTACCTACTAATCCGAAAGTTTATGACGTGTTTAATTTGTGCTTTGCAACTTAAGATGGTAACGAATCTCACCATCTTTATTTACTCTCCACATAACAAATCATTTTAATTCATGCTTATTAGTTAATTACACGTCAACGGCAATACATGCATTAATATGTATATATATATATATATGTATGTATATGTACATGTATGTATATATGTATAAACTTAGAGAGATTAATAAAAAGCGTGATGACTCACCCACGACTAAGAATAAAGATTGCCCATCAATCAACATGAAAAGTTTATCAGGCATCAATGCATGTCTTTGAAAAATTGATACAGAAAATCGCTATAAATTTTGTTTATAAGCAATTATAAAACTGAAATTAATTAACCATATATAAAAATTCGTGAGGAAAAGAGATGATGAGAAGAAATTTGATGAAGAACACCTTACGAGCATATAGGTCAGCGAGAACGGCACCCCATCCTCCATGGCTGTAACTGAACTGGACGATGGACGAACCAAATATCACAAACTGAGGTCTTTCTGGTCCAACCATCTCCCTCTCTCTCTCTCTCTCTCTCTCTCTCTAGAACAGTGTCTCCCGCTAGCTCTCTGTAGTTCTCTCTGACCTGGATACCTTCTTTGCTGCAAACACTACAACGTTATGCCCGAGGTCGGTAGCTTTTACAAACATATTTTTACTTTTCTCTATTTTATTTTTGTAATTCGGAACGCAAGTAGGAAACATACTATTCACCACTTGGTTGCGTACACAAGCTGACAACCCTGTAGAGCATCTTGTACGGCGATTATTCGTTCCGTGACAACATCACGTGTCAATAATACAAAAATATGAATATGAATTAACATATTTTTTTATTTATTGATACGAAACATTGTATCATGTTACATGTCTTTTTCGTAGACATTGGGGATGAAATTTTAACTAATTCAAATGGGATGGGATTCGAACAAAGTGACAAGGAGAAGGAATTCGAACTGCATAGGGGAGCAGGTACAACTCAAACCAACTAGTAAAATCTGACATTTTTATAATTAATTGAGGACAAGGATTATTCACCTCTTTACTACTATAAATAAATGCATTCTTTAAAGGGATAACAAGAACTCACACACACAAAGAAATCCCTACATTTTCTCCCATCTCTTGCCGAACCCTCTTTCTTCCCTTGTCAGATAAACTGGTCCAACACTAATATAAAATTTTCTTAATGAAAAAAAAAAAAACCACCTTTGTTAGTGGGAATGAAAAAACTGGATTATAAGAAGTCAGTTCTCTCTAAATCAAAAAATTGTTTTTTTTTTTTGAACTAGCAGTTTAAAAATCTCATTTTGAACTCCTCACAATTGTATTTTCTTTCTAAATATATAAATTTTGAAGTGCGAAATAAATTTTTGAAGTGACAGTAACAATTTTCTATTTTTTAACGAGGAGAGTGTGGCAAACTTTGTAATTTTGGTATACGAAATATGAGACATATGTCACCAAAATTGTAGAAAAAGAATTTAATCAAATCTCTAAAAGCAACAAGTGTTTAGTATAAGATGCGTTGCGTGGATATTATTTAGGGTGTTGTCATTGACACCTTAAAAAAGATCATTGTGCAATTCAATAATTTTTTTAGAGTATCAATAATATATCTTATTATGTAATAGTTTAGCATCTCCGATTAATTTGTTTCACACGTTAAAATTCATTTTTGCCGTGAAAGAAGTATTTGCTACCAGTGATCTCACTTACAAGAAGATGCGTGTTCATCTGACGAGCACGTAGTGATGACTGATGAGTGCTTGGATTCTGGGGAGGGTTTTAATAACCATTTGTCTCAAAACATTTCAGGCAGCTGAATCTTTATCATATGTAAATTCAGAATATCATTCACTTATAATTTTCCTTTAGCATCGGTACAAAGGAGGCCTTAGGCCGAGGTTGAGGAAGAGCGGGAGTTGAACTCTTCTCTTGAGCTTGAATACTCTCTACTATTGTATGTACAAGTCCTCAATTATTATCACTTATGCAAAGTACTCTTAGTAATTAACAGGCCGAATTCTATACAGCCATTATCTACCTTCGGCTGTATGATTCAGCTAGGGTTCTGCTATTGAATTATATCTACATATGTGTGTGGGGGGGGGGGAAAAGCAAAGCAAACTTGCACTATATCTTAAATCTCATTGCTTAGTCCCCAAGTGCTTGACACCCTCATTAACGCTGATCTCAGCGATGTTTATAGTTGTTTTTCCATCAGCAGCGGGCGGATCATAAGGCGAATCCTCCGAAAATTCCGTTGGCAACGATTTCCAGTGTAGGCGGGGCTCCCAGTCTGCTTCCCTAAGCACCTTCAGTATCTCCTCCCCCACAATCTTGCTCCCTTCGGATGAAAAATGGACTCCATCCCTGGACAGATCAGCATCATACACACACCAAATCGTTAGATAAGTGGAATTGTTAAACGCTTGGGAGCTGTTATTGACACTCCAAAAAGGTCATCATGCATTTTGCATTTGTGAAATAAATAATAAAGTAGAAATGCAAGATGATATTTTCAAAGTGCCAATAACAAATCTTATCTGATTAAGTGGAAAGATAATTTATAACATGAAATTGAACATACGTAAAGCACGTAGTAGACCAGTCTTTTCTTTTTTGAATTGAAGTCCATAAATCAACACCTTTGATATCCAACTCCCGGCACACGTCTAAACAAGCATCTGAATATGCTTTGCAGGACTCGTTTGTTCGATTCTTTGGCGGAACATAGTCACTGGCTTCATGAATTTGTTCCTCGTTGACAGGAGGAGCAGTAAGAAAGATAACGCGAGTTTTTTCTGAAAGACTCTGGCAACCAGATGAATCTGTTAGTTATACTGTTGGAATTATATGCATTACGCGCCAACAAAGTTGTTTATACAAATGTCATCCATATCTTGCAGATTTTCACCTCTCTACAGATTATTACCTTTAAATGTTTACCAATCTTTCTCATATTTTCTTTATATTCAGGAAGTGGTACATGAGCGCCTAGCCCTGACGGATGAGGATCCACCGAATCATTACCACCAAAATAGACTATCACCAAAGATGGCTGAATTGTGGCATCCTGTATATGTCAATTATAATCACACAACATCAGCATCAAAACTACATGTATAAGTACGTATTAGGAAGAAGCATCTCCTATGCAGTTTCCGGACACCAAATGTATGAGCTATATTCTATATGTTCTTGAACCTGAGTTCTAATTCAGTACATACACCCGCAAACGCACAGACATACAATTAGAAGTACTGCTCGTATGGCTTTGACACAGATATCCAAACATGTCACTCATTAAAGTGAATTAATAAAGTCCTTGAATGTATTATCCCTCGGTTAAAGACCCTCAGGTAAGATCTCCATATACACGTACCTTGGGAAATACTTGATCCAAAACCAGCAAAGCACGCCTCGAGTTCCAACCAGCGTATCCTCGCACCAGTACGTCGGCCTATATTCCCGAAGAGATTAAGGTCGGTAATGCCATTAACATGGAACTTTATCTAGGACATGAAAATGCAGAGCCTATTTGATAAGCATTTCATCTTTAGTTTTTAGTTTTCATATTTGTGTTACAAATGGAGGAGAAATTGTACCAAAAATTCAGATTTCATCATCATGCTGGTTCACACATTGCTTTCCAATTAGTATTATGCAATATTGTATCACAAAGTAAAAGAGAATTAAGAGACGGTTTTTAATAAAGAGTGCACGAAATTTACGTCTTCGAAAAAGAAAATCACACTTGTTTTTTTTGTAAGTAATTATAAAAGTGAAATTAATTGATCATGTGTATATAAACATTCTTGAGGAAAAGAGATGACGAGAAAGAAATTTGATGAAGTACCTTACGAGCATAGAGGTCAGCGAGAATGGCACTCCATCCTCCATTGCCGAAGCTTAACTGGACAATGGACGAGCCAAATATCACAAACTGAGGTCTTGTTGGTCCGACCATCTCTCTCTCTCTCTCTCTCTCTCTCTCTCTCTCTCTCTTTCTCCTTTCTTACGTTATGGTTGGATTAGGTTTAGGCTTCTATATATATATAGTTGATTTTTTATTTACAACGCTAGTAGAAAAATCAGAAACAATTTTTGGCACCAAGTTGATTACCCTAGATATAGGGGGAGGGGATTCAAACTCGGATTTAAAGGGAAGGAAAACCAAACAAGCTGCAAATAGTGTGCAAGGCCAACGGAAATTTTAAAGAATTCTTTTTCTGGATAAAGTGATGTCCAAACTTCCAAGAAACGGCCGCGATCCTAGTCAACTAGTCAACTCATGTCTTACATATTTGTGTTCAATTGAATTAAAAATAATTTAAAAATGATTGCTCTAGAAATACTAGAGGTGTATTACGCTTTGAATCTATCAGAACATTTAAATAAAAATTATATGAATTATAATTTATCTAGATTTTCGAACTACGTTGGGAAACTCCGAGATAGCATCGACTCTGAGAATTCCTTTATTCCAACATGTCCACCCAACTTTTTCTTGAGGTCTATGTTAAAATATACTTCAAACTCAATACTTGAATAAAACTATAGTGTCAGCGACTCTTGTTTTATTTTATGAGTACCATAATCTTGCAGGAATTGAGACATCAAGTGATGCGGCTAAAGATGTTGCCACCCACATCTGCAAAGTCACCAGAGTTGTGCAAGAGTAGCAGAATGTTGTCCTCCAATACAAAAGGAAAGACATCCCGGACGTCTCTCGGATTGCCAACCTCTAGTCAGTTCAAAAGATCAAACATATCGTCTTCATCATCACAGAGAGGACTATCGTCAATTGATGATCTTCCTGACGGTGTGTAGGTTGAAATCTTTTACCGGCTTACCTGCACTAAATTTGTTTTACAATGTGTCCAAGCGTTGGAGCTCGATCATCAGAGATTCTTATTTTATTGGCCGCTTTGTAAATGTCCAAAGTGCTAAGAGAACTCCGAAGATACGCACGCTGATAAGCAGTAGAGCAGTAGAGCAGTAAAGCGGAGGGTTTCCCCTTACAGTAAAAAGTCGTCGCCCAATGTACTAACGGTACTCAGACGAATCATGAGTTTTCAACGTTTGATGAGTTGCCAACCATCGTAGCGACATATAACGACTTAGTTTTGTGTTGCGAAAGCTTGTATTATCAACGCAGTTGCTAGATTTGTAGATGTCATGCCGACGAGGAGTTGGATTCATTAGCGACATTCCCGACTGTAACGGTAAGAAAGACGATTTGGAAGGAGACAGCATCCAGCTTAATGCCGATGAATCATAGCAACCTCTGCTCGTGTTCTTATGAAAGAAGCAAACTAGTGAAAATAATTAATCTTTGAACCCCGAATTGAACATTGACTTACATTCTTCATGTAAAGAAAATGTGAGTCAAAATGCAATTCAAAATGCGAGTCTGGTGGCAAACACATTCTTAGAAGCTATGTTGCAGTACCACCGGGCACCAGCCACATCTCGTAAAGAAAATACAGCACAACAGCCCGAACATGATCGGAGTTTTTAACTTTTACGTAACTCTTCATGTAGGTTCAAAATTCAAATTTGGTTTCATTCCTTCCCAAAATCTGCGTTGTAGTGGGAACTAGATTCAAGTTTCTTTGCTTCATTCAGTTTCCGTACAGCCTGAGACATAAAAAACACACCCTTAGAAGCAAGATATAAAAAATCGATTGTTTGCATGCACAGTGCCAAACGAGCAAGACAAACACCAAATATTTGACGACACTTGACTTTAGTAGCACACTCTTATTCTGTCCCTTGAGGTCTTGGGTTCGATGACCCTTAAGATAGTAGGTAGTCAAACCCCATAGGTGTCAAACCCAACAAAGCCATCAAAAGAGAAAGTTAAAGATTGTGACCTAGAACAACATGAAATAGACAACCCTAAACACCGCCAAAGACATTCTTGGGTTCCATCTCTAATTGTTAGAACAAGGTATGGGAGTAGCTCCGCAAATGAAGCATTGGGACTTCCATAATTTTCAGGAATGGACATAATTGATTTAACGCGTACCTTCATGAAATCTTCATGGATGACATAATCCCTCTCTGCACGGATTGCACACATCCCAGCTTCAGTGCAGACATTACGGAGATCAGCTCCATTAAAACCCTGAATGAAGACAATGCATCAAATCATTGAGGCAAAGCATGTAACAGACTCTTTTGAAATAGATAATCATGCTTACCTCAGCAAGCTTCACAACTGCCTCATAATCAATTTCCCCATGTTTGGCAATCCCGGCGGCATGGATTTTGAGAATTTCCATTCTTGATTGCTCATTAGGCAATGGGATCTCTATCTTGCGGTCTAGTCGCCCAGGACGCAGAAGTGCAGGATCCAGGACATCAGGCCTATTAGTTGCCATGATCATTTTCACCTGCAAAATGAAATTAATCAACTTCCATAATCCATGCCAAGCTATGATCTACTTTTATGCCATTAAAGGTTTACACAAGCATGACCAGTAAGCGAGTTTCATCTGTCTGTTGTGACCAAACCAAAAAAATCAATCTTGATTTAAATCAAAATATACTTACCTTTCCAAGCTGATCAAATCCATCTAACTGGTTAAGCAACTCCATGAGAGTTCGCTGAATTTCTCGGTCTGCACTAGTCCCTTCACTAAAACGCCGTCCACCAATAGCATCAATCTCATCCATAAAAATGATACAAGGCTAGACACAAAGTCAACAAAATTAAGCATGCTTTCAAATAGGAATATTTAATGTTATAATGCTAAAAAAAATTTCCAGCTCATACCTGGTGATCACGGGCATAACCAAACATTTCCCTTATCAATCTTGCACTTTCACCGATATACTTATCAATAATGGCACTTGATACAACCTAGGCCAGGCATAGCAGTAGCCAATATCAAAGATAAGTTGAAACAATTAAAAAGATTCTAGTCTTGTTCAAAGAAACACGTAACTACATATGCAGCAATACAACTTATAACGTAATAAACAAGCTGCTATCTAGAAGAATGAATAACCTTTAAAAAGTTAGCATCTATGTTGCTAGCAATTGCTCTGGCTAGTAATGTCTTCCCTGTTCCCGGAGGACCATACAGAAGAACACCCTGAAAAAATTTGAAAGGTGAATACAATAAGAAAAGAAAAGTTCTATTTGAAAATTCTAAGTTTCTAGGTTTCTGAAAATATTGCTAAGAATACGAAGAACACCAACAACAGTTTAAAATTACCTTGGGAGGTTTGATCCCCACTCTAAGAAAAAGTTCAGGATTCATTAGAGGCAGTTCTATGGATTCCCTAAGTTCTCGGATCTGATCTGATAGTCCTCCCACAGCCGAGTAACTAACATTACCAGGATCTTCATGAAGCATATTATATACAATGGGATCAACCTGCCAACAAAAATATGAAAGAATGTTCATGAATAGATGAGTAAAGTGTCCAACTTTATAATAAATAATCAGATGATAGCGGATAATAATTACTTCTCTGGGAAGAGCCCGCATGATTGTCAAAGTTGTCATATCCAAAACAACACGCGTGCCAGTCACTAGTTTTTCCTTGTCAACCTTACTGCGACACCCAACAACATATCTAGGGCCACTACTGGCCTTCACAATCACTGAGGCAGCAAACACAATGGCCATTAGATTGGCAGTTCTAACAGGGTTTCCAACAATTAAACTTTAAACAATAAAACAAGCATTAAGAAAACAATCTGCTTACAGCGTTCATTATCGAGAGGCCGAAGAACTTCACCAATAATCTGTCCAACGCTTTGAAGGGACTTCAAATCATCTTCAGTTTTCCCAAATTCTTTCCTTGCAGTCCGCAAGTTCTCCCTCACTGCAAACCGTTCCACCATTGCAAAACAAATCAATTGTGTTTCTTCAAAATATCTAAATTTCCCAATTCACAACAGAAAGCTCCAAACAAACCTAAATCAGAGCAGAATCGCTCAAGTGAAATGTGAATCGAAACCCTAAAAGGGAGAGCAGAGCCATACTAAAAGCTTACTAATTTGAACAATTAATTTGATAACTGAAAAAGGGGATAGGGTTTGAGGGTGCGGAATTGACCTGCGCGAACTCGGGAGTCGAGCTCCTTGTGCTGGAGTAACTTTTTGCGGTAGTCGAAAACCGCAGTGCGACGGCGTACGGCGTCCTCTGATGTCTCTGTCGTCATCGCAGCGCAGCGCTTCTTTCGTGGAGAGAAGTAAATAGTAACTCTTTAAATTAGAGAGAGTGGTGGGCAAATTTATTTATAGTGGTGGTCCTTGTGTTCCGAAACTATGGAATCCTGATGGACTCGGGCTTTTAGTCTGGTGGCTGGGTTTGTGGTGGTGGTGGATGACCCTAGCAGCGATGGATTCGGTGGCTCCGGCGACGCCGATATGAGAGAGAGACAGGGAGGCGAGAGGGAGGGAGGCTGACCTGTTTCAATGGTTTATTAGTCTTTCTAACTCTATGCACGAGGTTGGGGGTTCGATTCCTCTTCGTTCCCTTTTTGCCAAACATTATAATCCTTCCTTCCCATTTGATATATATATATATATATATATATATATATATTAAATTGTACTGTTATTTGGACTCTAAAAATATTATTTTATATTTTTTAAAGTATATTTTTAATTATCATTTAATGTTACCGTATAGTGGTATTTCTATCTTCACTTGTAAGTGAGAAGTCTTAGGTTTAATTCTCGCAAAAGACGCATTTAAACCATATTATTATGGGTAACTCAATGTGAGACTTTGCCCACTCTTACTCCCTTAGTATAAATATTATCGTTTGTTAAATAAATGTATTTTAATTTTAAATATAAAAAATTTGAAGAGCAAAATTAGAAGTGTTCCTAAGTTACAAATTTAGTGGATGATGAAGTTTATTCTTTCAAATCTTAATATAAAAAATCAATCTATAAAAAGTAAAATAAAAAGAACAGAAAATTCAAACTTTGAAGTATTTGATGTTTAATTTGTGGTCAGATCCCTTCCACCTAATCCTCCTTATTATGTAATTCGGACACTTAAAATTTGATCTAAAGCTAAAGTTATTATAACTTTTTAAAGTTTGCTCCTATTTATAATCGTTGGATTAAATTTCAAGAACATAAATTATTTAATAATTTCCTAATTTGTGAACGAAAACCTATTTGTATTTGGAAACAAAATGATAAAATTTTATTGGGTAAACCGCGAGAGTTTCTCAAATATAAGGGGGGAATTAACAATATTTTCCCTCAAATACAAGAAGAAAAGAAGAATACTCAAAATATTGAGACTGATTTCTGAATTTTTAGTGTTTTGGGGGCAGGATTTTAATTTCCAATCCTTGTTTTCTTCTCCAGGTAGGTTTTGCCTTCTCGCAGCTTCTGTTTCTGAGCAGAAGAACGACGACGATGGACATTGCTCTCTTTTCCCCATCTTCGCTTTTTCATGACGACGATGACTCTTCCAGTGGTATATTCTCTCTCTCTCTCTCTCTCTCTCTCTCTCTCCACTCTCTCTCTAACTTAGTGGGTCTAAGTTGCAGGTGAGGAAAACACAGAGAGCCAGCAAAACTTCGTAGAGAGGAGGCACGAGTTTCCTGGGATGGTATGTCTATTCCTTCATCTGGGTAACACCCAGAAACGTGAATTTGTCTTTCACTTCCTCTAACTGTAATTTTTCATATTTTTTCTTTTCTGTTCTGATTTGTTGAATTTGTGTTTTTTTTAATCTCTTTCCCATTTGAAATCACTTAATGAAATGAAATTTCGTAAACAGGCTAGAGTTTAATATTACGCGATTTATAGTTTAGAGACAGCATTTACATTCATATGTATCATTTGTTCCATGGATAAATCAAAACTCAAAAGCACATATCTGAGTTCAATTCCGTGGAATTGAGTGCTTAGGTGCATTCATTTCAGGGGGTATTCGGCCTTTCGTTGAACGCCAAAAGAGTTATTTCGAGTTCTAGTTTTAGTTTATATTTCAGCTTGGTTCTTGATTGCTTCTTTGTAGAGTTTGGTAGTATAGAACTTTTAGTACTTTAAACTAAGATAAGTGATTCGGATTGGTACAGGAGTTGGTCGTCCGAGAATTTTCGTTTCATCAGTTGAATGCCAATTTACTCTGGCCTGGGACATTTGCATTTGCAGAATGGTTAGTTGAACACAGGCCATCAATTGAAGGAAGGCATTGTCTTGAACTGGGCAGGTTTTTCTCGACTGTTTCTCTTCATATGTGTATGCAATCATCTACTCCTGCATGGAAGGATTACTTGAATCCTTCTCTTTTTCTTGTTCCTCGCACTTTTTAGTGTTGATCATAGGTACTGACTGCATCACATGGATGCTTTTTTCACATAGGGGAAACCCTTTGTTGCTTGTAAGCTGATGTTGGTTTGTCTACTGATTGGCAGTGGCACGGGTGCTTTGGCAATTTTTCTACGAAGATTGTTTAATCTTGACATTACCACATCAGACTATAATGATCAAGAAATTGAAGATAATATAGCTCATAACTGCAGGGTAAATGGAATTACACCTGTCCTTCCTCATATAAAGCGTATGTCATCCTTTTCTGGACTGAGTTGTCCTTCAGTTTCTTCACTCTTGAGCATTTTATTTCACTATTGTTTTTTATCTTGGGTTTCTTTTACTGCCTAAAAACATAGTGTGTTGAAATTCTAATTGACTGACTGTTTCTTAAATTTGTGTTGGGATTCTATTAAATTCATAAGATGGATGCTAATTTTTCAGATACATGGGGCGACAGTTTCCCTACTGCTGATCCAGACTGGGACCTAATCATTGCTAGTGATATCTTATTGTGTAAGTTTCTCCTGTTGTGATTTCACTCAAGTATCTTTCTTCAAACCTTGGAGAGTCGGAATCTTTATTCCGATGTTTGTAGTACTGAATATCCTCTTGATTGTAAATAAACTGATGCTCATGGAGGCTGCACATTAACGGTATGCTAATGGTTCCTTTTTCTTGACTACTTGCAGATGTGAAGCAGTATCCAAATTTGATAAAAACCCTTTTGTTTCTCCTCAAATCTTACAAGCCGAAGGATGGTAAAGCACAGCCTCAAGCAAAGGATGAACAAAGTGGTGGTACTATGCTGACAAATTTGTCCAGTATAAGTAGTATATGTTGACACTATGCTCATTCTTATTCACCTCTTGCTCACAGGAGACCCTTTTAGTTTGCCCCGGCCAGCATTTCTGATGAGTTGGAGACGCAGAATCGGAAAAGAGGATGAATCACTTTTCTTCACTGGTTGCGAGGATGCTGGCCTTGAAGTAAAGCATCTGGGATCTCGTGTGTACTGCATCAAACCAAGAGAAGCAACTTCCCACGGCGACCAAATAGGGAAGGTTTAGAAGCTATATTTGTTTGAGAAGTAGCCATGGCAAGGCGATCCTTTTTTTTGGGTAGCTGATATCAATATTTGATCTTTCTGCAATTGCACATGGGATGTAGGAAGTAGCAGAATAACTTTTGAAGATATTTAAACAATCCTTAGTTTGTCTTAGTTATGCCTTAATTATTATTGATGTTGTTTAAGGATAATTAAGTACACATAAAGACTTGGACATGAAGGATTAACATATTGACAAAATGATACTCTAAACTACTAACTTGTAAGGATGCGGGTACATTATCTTGATCGACTGGCCAAACCCAGATCTGTGAATTCTAATTCTCATTAGTGTGGTGGTTTTTAGATTTTCCAAGAATATCCATCATAATACTAATTGGATGGATGGTTAATAATATTTACCAAAAATTGGTTAATGTTAATCCACCAAAATAAGAAATTAAGCCAAAAGTATGCAAGGTTATGGTTGAGGTAATTTGAACATTTCCCCAAAAGAAGCCTGGCTTCTCTCTTCATGGGAGGTGGAGATAGCCGTTGCCAAAGCTTCCAAATAACATGGTTACTTCGAATGGGATTTTTTATATTTTTTTAATTTCTTCAAAGGAGAAACTCAAGCAACTGTCAAAATTGCCTAAAACATTAGTCGAGGATTGGTGGCTTCTGGAATTTGGGAGGTCAGTGGATCAAATTCTTCTTTTCCTACGAATATTTGAGCAATTTATGTAGTTCATAATATGATGCCCGGATAGATGTGGGTTAGGCCAATTTCCCGTCCTTTTGTACAACAATTTGAATCATCTTTCTCTTAAATTAAAAAAAAAAAAAATCTCAATCTAAATCATCGTTCTTGTAAATTAGAATAATATAGAGAATATCGTATTGTACTTTAATTTAAATAATCTTTCTCGTAAATTAGAATGTCGCATTGAAAAAAATAACATGCACAAAGGAAACAGTATGAATGGGCCATGAAACTCATGACACTCGTATTGAAAAAAATGATATGCAAAAAGGGAAGGTATCATCTCCAGATCTCTTTCACCTAATCCTACTCATCAAACAATTCGGGCCTTTGAAATTTGATTCAACGGTTAAAGTTATTATAACTTTTAGAGTGGACTTGTGTTTGTAGTCGTTGGATCAAATTTCAAGGGTTCGAATTGTTTGATGAGGAGGATTAAGTGGAAGGGATCCGGAGAGTGATCCCTTTCCATGCACAAAAGGAAGCAATATGAATGGGCCTTGAAACTCATGGCACACCTCAACAACAAACTGATGGAGTTAATGTTTTGTTTGCTCTGTGACTGACATGTATTTGTGATCGTCTCCACATCTGGCAACCATGCATGCCGATACAATATATGTGCCTTCATTACTCAGATGACATAATAATTTCTCTCTCTCTCTCTCTCTCTACTCTCAACCAGAGTGTTTATGTCCGTCCCCTTGTACCGGGGTTTGATCTCTAACTCTCAAACCAAAAATGGCTTCCAACCAAGAATGCCTCTTGGAAAACGGCAACCCTATTAATGACACAAGGGAGGAGGAGGAGGAGGTGAACCACCACCATGGCAGGACAGCCAGGCAAATGTCAGCGTCTTCGCTGCGCTAGAAAGTCGGATCCTTCACTAGCAAATGGTGTCCAGAACCGCCACCTTAGGCAGTTGCTCGTAAATCTTCAAGTTGTTCTTTTTGGGACTAAGCTTTCAGTTCTCCTTCCCACCATTCCTCTATCCATTATTGCTGTGTGCTATGGCTTTGGAAAGGTGAGTGCTTTCACTTAATTAACATTAAATATTCCATACAATTTGGTGATGAATTTCGTACACCTTTTTTTATCCGTTGGACTCTAAATTGAATATTTTTTAATATTTTTTTCACTCAGCATTTTTGGTGATTTTCGCACCCATTTTCTCTGCATGCATTCCTGCCTTCCTTCTACATTTTAATCAAAAGAGAATCAAGTGACATAACAGGAGTACGAAAATCACTACGGGCTATAAAAAGGCGTGTTAAAAACGACTAACCTTCGTCTTTTGGCAGCCTGGATTTTCGCTCTGAGCTTACTTGCAATAACCTTACTTGCTGAGCGGATCAGTTTCCTTACAGAGTAAGGCGTTTTACACAATCAGTTAGACTTTCTTCAAAATTATGCTTGGATTAATCTTTGCCAATATGATTTTGTACTTCAAATTGCAGACAAATATCATACTACACTGGTCCAACAGGTAAATTGTATTCATTTTTTATTTTATTTTTTATATTGTTACTTATGATGGCTCGTTTGGTGCCTAGGATTTGATGGTATTGGATAAAACATACGATTCAAGGTTATGTCGAACGTACGTAGAGCTGAATAATTTTTCATTTTGAATGGATTAGAAGGGATTAGACACGAATGAATTTTATGCCTTCTAATCTCTTCGTTACTTCTTTAAACGTATCTTGAATATAGTGAGTTATCGAATCTAATGTTGGATTGGTGGCCAAATTGTGGTGGTCCACTTATTGACCCAATTGCCCGTTAAGTTGTTTTGTTTATTTGGTCCATGTGAAAGCCACGGGGTGGTTTTCCTATTGTTTTAATTGGCAGCAACTGCTGCATTTGTTAAAGAAGCCGAAAGCAAGAAATAAGAAAATGATGAAGGAACATCATGATGAGGAAGCATCATGTTGTTTGTTGAATGTTTGTTCCTTTGTTTGGCTATAGGTGGTGCTTTCGGCTTCTCTTTGAAACTTGGCACCCCATGTGCTTTGGCAGAGAGCAGTGGGCAGAAAGCATAAAGAAGCATCCAAGGGGAGAGCATTCGGCTCTCCCATGGGAAAAAGTTGAACATTTTATATTAAGGCATTTGTTATGCCTTATGGTTGAATGGAGGGTGCGGGGGGGGGTGCAGCGGAGCGGACGATAGCCAGGGAAAGCATTCGGTTCTCCCATTTGAAGCTCTTCCCCTCCTTTGTTAGTAATCACTCAATCAAAGATATTTGTGCTACATTTTGTGGCTTTTGGGAGAGAAGGAATTTGGTATATGTTTCCATCTTCTCCATTTGTTCTTTGTGAGAGTGAGAGCTATTGGGTGTATGTGGGCTATTGGGTTTGAGAGTTAAAACTCTATTTGTAATCTCCTTTTGACATTAGTGGAATTTCCTCGCCGTCTCGGAACTGGATGTAGGCTTACGCCGAACCAGTATAAATCCTTGTGCCTTTTTTTTGGATTATTTGTCTTGTCATATTTTGCCGTATTAGCTTTGGTTTCATATTTGAAGCTTCCGCACAACATCTAATCCAATCCTTGACAAGACGAACCCTTGGAGAACGAGACTGAAGTATGAAATTGACATTAACAGAATTTGACTCTCACAATATTTTGTGGTTTTGGTTTGCAGTTGGGGGGCTTCTGAATGCAACATTTGGTAATGCCACAGAGCTGATCATAGCAATATCTGCTCTAAGCCAAAATAACATAGCTTTGCTCAAGTATTCTCTCTTGGGTTCTGTTCTTTCCAACCTTCTCTTGGTCCTTGGCACCTCCCTTTTCTGCGGTGGCCTTGCCAACCTCAGAGGGGAGCAAAAATTTGAAAGAGTAAGAATACTAAGAATAATTTTCGGATTTTAACTTCCGTAATTCTTTGGTTTGAACTTTCTTTTTAAATTATCCGAATTATATGTTGCTGCGTATACCTGAATTGCTTTTTCTTATAAACTTTATATGCATATTGTTTTCATCAGAGACAGGCGAATGTGAACTCTCTCCTTCTACTTCTAGGCACATTCTGCCACATGCTGCCGATGTTGCTTCGATACGCTGGGGACTCTGCAGTAGCAGTGGACCAAACACTCCAAATCTCAAGGGCCTTTAGTATCGTAATGCTACTTTCTTATACTGCATTCTTATTCTTCCAACTGTGGACTCACCATGGATATTTCGAATCTCAGCAAGTAATTATCCTAATTTTTTTGCTGCAATCATGATTTTATTTTCATGATTCCACCGTCTGTCTGATGAGTACTGCGTAGGAAATAGATGATATAATAAAACATCAATCTAATTATATAATGCAGAAGAATCGTTACATGAAAATTCATGCTACTATTGACGAAACTTTTCATCTGTTTATTTTTTTTCTGCTTACTTGTCATGCAAGTCTTCATACCGAGCTGATCTAAGAGAGTGAAGATCCCAAAACAAAGAGAATTTATGTTAAAGCAATTGATGATATGTGCATTAAACTTGCATTTTCAGTGCTTCCTTTCACAAAAACAAGTTGTTGAAATGTTAGAGCTCAGCTAAGTCATTAGGAAAAATGCAACTTAGCAGGTATCGGAAGTTGATGGCGACGAGGATGTTCAAGAAGATGTGGCTGAGGTCGGTTTCTGGAGTGGATTTTCTTGGTTGTTTGTTGTCACTACCATCACAGCTTTGCTGTCTGAGTATGTGGTGGGCACAATTGAGGTAATTAATTAGTACACTATGTTGTTTAGTGGGTTTGTAAACCTTCTCATCAAGACATGCACATTCACTGAATTCGTGTATTATATTAGGATGCGTCAAGATCCTGGGGTTTGTCAGTCAGCTTCCTCAGCCTCATCCTTGTACCGATTCTTGGAAATGCAGCTGAGCATGCAGGATCGATCATATTTGCTCTCAAGAACAAGTTGGTGAGTAATCCTATATCTTTGATTAAGTTGATCTCCTCTTCTTGCAGGAAGCTATAATTAAGTTTACATTCTTCTGTTTTGCACAATGGCAGGATATATCTTTAGCAGTCTCTTTGGGGTCTGCAACTCAGATTGCAATGTTTGTGGTTCGTGTTCATAACCTAAGCTCAATTACTGTAGTCTCTTTCCAAACCAGAAGAACAAAAGTTCCATTAACTAAAACTCTTTTCTTTATATACGCATGACGCAGGTTCCGTGCTGCGCTGTCGTTGGTTGGATAATGGGAGTTAACATGGATCTGAACTTCAATCTGATTGAGACACTGTCATTTGCTCTAGCAGTGATCACAGCAGCCTTTGCTCTACAAGTAATACTCACATGATTAATCATACATAACTTCATATGTATTAAGTATATCATACTTTCTCATATGTTTTTAACCTTGATTTTTTTTTTAGGATGGGACTTCACATTATGTGAAGGGATTGGTTCTTATTCTCTGCTACGTTGTCATTGGAATCTGCTTCTTCGTATACGAAACACCCCTCGATCGGTGAGTAGTTAGAAGAGAAGTGACTTCTGCATACACTTTTTCACATCCTGTACACCACTATTCTTTTTTGGTCTTTGGTTCGAATCAAGGGTGGTCAACTTTAATAGGCGCAAATAGAAGGTAAAAAGAGGCATGTAGAAATCACTCTCGGTAATTAAAAATGCTGTAAACACCAACCCTTTTCAATTCTCAAAGCTCTCTACACGCATATATATAGAAACCATATTTGAACAGTATTCACATCCTTTGATTGACGTTGGAGAAACTTGAGGGCAGGATTGGTTCAAGGTCACTCCCAAAAGTGGAAATATGCTTCCTTCCTTAGCCTGCGACGAGATAAATTATTTGGGCCCAGTTGATTTCGTTAACATTGGCCAGATTGATTTGTTATTCAAATAAAGGGCTTCCCAGCCCTGGCTACGGTTTTTCTTTTATTCTTTTATTTTCTTTTAATATGACTATATATTTATATTAAGAGGTCGGAAATTTGAATTAGGCTACATAATGGACTAAGTCATATATATTAGTTTGAACTCACAATCCACGAGAATTAAATCTAATACTTTGTACTATAGTTTAGTAGTTAAAAAGCTTGTTTAGAAGTGCTTTTAAAATGGCTGAAAACGTTTTTGTTAAAAATGTTTTTAGAACAAGTGAATCATACAAAAACACTTAAAGTGTTTCCTCCAAGTACCAGTTATGTGCTTCTTACATAAAACATTTTAATTGCTTTTAGAACCAAAAATATTTTCGCTAAAAACGCTTTCAGTCATTTAAAAAAAAAAACTTCCAAGCGAGCTCTAAAGGATCCTTGAGAATAAATTGACATCAAACTCGCCAATCACAATATTCTAATCTAAGACCTCTCACTTATAAATTAAGATGAATATTATTAGACTGTAGTACGAAGTGGTTTTACTTTTATTCTTTTCATCTCATTTCACATTTCCAAGAAATGAGCATGTGGTCCACTATTCTACTGAATAGTATCTAGGTTTCACTCATGTGTTTCGGTTTCGAAACTTCTCTTCCTAAATTATTGTAAAAGTTTTGAACCTTCCTCCTCCCTTAATAGTAATATGATAAAATTACATTACATCATAATGGTTTTACTACAGCATGACGTTCACATCGAATGTATGAGATACAACAAGAAGTTCACATCAAATGTATGAGATAAGGTTACACTATAATTATTCAAAATTACACTCTTGAGTTACATAATTATCTAACAATATAATTAATTACACGTAAAAATACTAACTAACAAAGTTACCATTTACGGTGTAGTCGTCAGATTACATTGTTAAAATAGGAAATTATACTTAAATGTTATTATTTACAGTATTACATGTCAAATTAAAGTGTACATATACCACTCCAGCTGGACAGGTGAAAGTCAATGTTAATGGTTCTTTCCTTTCTAGGTCGAATGTGGGTGGTGGAGGGGTATTTCGTGACGAAGCTGGTAGCTATGCTGGAGGTTTTGTTCGCCAAATACCTTCTGCATTGTGCTCCACTATGCTAAAGTTTCTGGCAGTCCATGAGGGAATTCGTTGAGTAGTGGAAAGGAATTTGAATCGCATTATTGTGGAATGTGACTTGTTGCAGGTGGTTCAAGCTGTTGGCAACTGATTCCAGGGGTCTTCTCTCTGGTGGATGACATTCGTGCTAATTTGCGAACCTTGTGGATTCTCAGGTTTGTTATGTGCACCGTTCTATGAATAATGCGCCACATGGTATGGCCAAATTGGCTATGTCTTTTCCTATTGAGTTTTGTTGGTTTGCGGAGCCTCCAGATCTGATTGTGGAGGCCCTCGTTGATGTTGTTTGAATTTTGTTGATTCAATAAAAACTGTCGTCTCTCTTAAAAAAAAAAAAAAAAATTACGTAACCTTTTATTTGTTTCCTTTCATTTTGTCAACCAAACTTTTATTTCTTCTGGGATCATTCGACTCCCAATCTTACCGATTCTTTCAATTATTTGATAATTAGGAAATCCAAATATATGAAACTCTCCACTAGCTAAAGTACAAAATCCAAATTTTTCTAGACTTGGCTTTGATGTTGAGCTTTACCAGTATATGTCGAGTCAACCACCTAGGTGTGACTGGTACGGAAGTAGAAAAGTAAGTTGTGGATGATACAATTAGTACATTAATCAGGCTTTAATATGGTAATGACGTGAACCTTCTCACTGTCAGCAGCACACAGTCCAAATCTTGAACGAATTCTTCTGCACCATCTGTAGATTTTAATTTAATTCGATTTGTTTTATTTCTTCTCTTTTAGTCTAAATATTGACTTGCATGCATAGAGTTAAATATATAAAACCCAACTTAAATCGTAACGTCATTTTTTTTTTTTTTTTTTATTATAGCAAACAATAGTATCTACACTAAGAATGTGAAGAGTGCGTTAAATTTTACAATGAGTTAGTAATAATAAAATTCAAATTCGCCTTTAACGAAAGTCGAACCTAAGACTTCGCACAGTAGATTAACAACAATGTCATGTAAATCGCTAAATTTACCTTCACTTCAACCAAACGCGCCCTAAGAGTGTGACCCCTGATTGGGAGGAAAGTTCGTGGAAATTTCTGTTCGAGCATAATGTCCCAAACCCCACGTATGATTACATCCCAGAACTACAATTTCGTCCTTATTCATCCAAAACGTATTACATAAATCGCATGCATGACCCAGCTGAGATCTTGTACAAAATCATGCATGTACATATAGAGAACGACGTGATGGAGATGTGTACGGAGTCACGGACGTGGCCACAAAAATATGGGCTGGATACCTAAATAGATGGAGGAAGCTTCGTGGAAACTTCTGTCTAGTGTTCCACAGTCAGGGATCGAGTGGAGGGCAAATATACTTACAGGTGTATGTGGATATTCTAGCGAAGACATAATGAACGAGAGCAAGACATGTTTTTGTAGTGTGGGTAGATGTTAAATAATGTGATAAGAGCTCTAATAATTCAATAGTTTATAAGGATCGAAGTATGATTGAGGTTGATATATGACAAAGTAATTCTTTCTTTCCCTTCTTTGAAACCAATTCGTACTTTTTTCCAAGCAACCAATATAGATTTTGAACAACTAACAGTGGTAATTCAAAGGTTTATATATATCGTTCTTAACGAAAGGGACCACATCAGAATTTTACCACTCATTACAGTACATACTAATTTGGCCTCAAAAATTTTAATTACCAAATTACTTGAGCATGGCAGCGCAAGACGATAAATAAATGATCCGTTTGATAATTATTTTTCTTATGTTGTGTTATAAATAAAGGGATAATAGATGAGAAAATTAGATATACATGCGTGTGACAGTTTGTTTAGTTTGGATTTTTTTTTATAATAAATTGTTTTATTTTAGAATTCTAATTAGGGAGGGCTATTTGGGGACATTGAAGCTTCACCATTTTAGTGTGCTCCTTTATATATAGAAGATAAAAGAGCAAAGAAAAGCACACAATATAACGCTGTGTTTGGTATTTTTTTTTTTTTTTTTACGGAGAGGTAGACGAAATGCGCATAAAAGAAAAGTAAAAACAAAAAACTATTGTAATTGTTATACTTTTAAGCTGCTTAATACAATGGCCTAGCTAGTGATATTCCTCTTCACTTGTAAGTGAGAGGTTTCAATTCTCGCCAAATGCCAAGTTAAACCACATTATTATGGCAAGCACATTTTAAAACTTAACCAACTCCCTCACTCTCTTCATGTAGATATTATTGTTTGTTCAAAAAAAAAAATTGTTATACTTTCAAGACTTTTTTTTTTTTTTTAAAAAAAAAAAAAAATTATTCTTCTTAATTTGTTTCTTCCTTTCTCCCTCCCACCTCTCTTCTTCACCACTTCTATAACATACTTTCCTTATATCTCAAACACATATTTATTTTATTTTAAAAAGGCTATCAGAGACAGTAGAGATCAACTTATGAATAAGAAAATACTAGTCAAATTAATTTGGTTGCTTAATAATCTTCATGAATAGAGTAACCCCAAAGAAGATTTTATATTTAAGAAGTTGTGAAAGCAACTTATACCAGAAATTCAAAGCTGAAAATTAAGAGTAGGGTCATGAGCATACGTGTACATATATACGTTCATGAACACAATGATAGAATGCAGTAAAAATAAGCAAATTAAATGGAGCATAAATTCTACAACTAAACAAAGCAACTAGCAAGAATTAAACCCTTCAAACAACACAACCGTTGATAGCGCAGTTTCAAACTTGGACACCCGAAATTCACCTGTAAATATTGTGCAAAATTGAAAATCTAATCGAGCCGCAAACATATATATAGGAATTTGTCCTTAAATAGTATGATATAGCACGAAATTTCTTTCTACCTTCCCTAATTTTGTCACTTTGCTTCTTGTTAATTAGTTGATTACGACTCATTAATTTGTTCAAATTATAAACATACCCAAGTGCATAAAAGAAGGTAGTTTTGTATTGTATGTGTATGGTAATTAAGCAAGAAAGTGACTTGATAGTTGATACGTAAATTAATCTTTTCTTTCCTAAGCAGTCTCTTATTCCGACATAGGTATCTCGAGAGACATCGTCATGCTGGAATGTGAATATCCAACGTAAAATCAACGGGCTAATACCGTAATAGGAGGAGACCATCCAAAGCAAACAAACAAATATCGAATCAAAAACAAAAACGATCGTATATGCTCATGTGCAACTCCATGTGAGCCTGCCATTCCTGCCTAGCAAGAACTTCATGATATAGCTCACTCGAGATTTTGTTCGAGCATGGAAAGCTAAGCATAACCGTCGAAAGTTGTTCTACTTGGGATTAAAATTTAGAGATATGATCAGAGATAATCGATCCATGGAGGAGTTTCCAGGAAGGTTCGTATGTAAGAATACGCAGGGTTGTGTACACAACTACTTCTGAGAGTTCTCAGTCATTATCTGATACATGTGGCATGCATTTGGCCCAGTTAATACTAAAAAAAAATAATAATACGCAATTGTATATTTGCATATGTATGGTCATGAGTCATGACATCACCATCGTTAATATTATTTCTCTTTGTTGTCTCCATGGAAAATATTTTGCGTATAATTTTTTATGTGCTAACCTTTGGACTTATTTGTTTTTTTTTTCCTCATAATTATATTGGATATACGTGGTTTAAAATCAATGTGAAATTATTTAATTAATTATTAAAAAAACACGTTAATGGTTGTGAGGATGTGAAGGTAAGAAAGTTAGGGTTCCATATAAAATCAATTGGTAACATGTGGAGTAGCCAACCTCTTATAAGTCATTGCAAGGTTTATCCTTTCACTAATGTAGGACTCTTTTATCTTCACATTCTCACACGCCCCCTCACGTGTGGGGATTTTCAAGCCAAACACATGGACAAGACGAATTGGGTGATGTGGAGCACGTGTGCCCGTTAGACTTCACATGTGGGCCAACCTGCTTTGATACCATGAAGAAGCTGGAGTTCCACCATAAAACCAATTGACAATATGGGGAGTAGCCCAACCTCTTGTACGTCATTGCAAGGCTTATCTTTTCACCAATGTAGAACTCTTTTACCTTCACATTCTAACAAAAGAATCCCAAATTGGTGAAAGAAAAAACTTTGTAAGGACCTATATAAGTTGGGCTACTCCCCATATTGCCAATTTGTTTTATGGGGGAACTCCAACTTTCTTCAAGTATCAAGTCAGGTTGAACTACGTGTGAAACTTGAGGGCCACATATGCTTCATGTCACCTAATCTTGTTGTCCATGTGTTTAGCTTGAAAATTCACCACATGTGAGAGGCTTGTGAAAATGTCTCTTGCAAGAGCTTATAAGAGGTTGAGCTACTCCCATAATATTATCAATTGCTTTCATGGTGGAACCCCAACTTTCTTCATAATATCAGAGCATGCTAACCCTCGTGTGTCCAATGGCAACACATGCTCTATGTCGCCTAGTTTGTGTTATTCACGTGCTTGACTTGAAAATTCGCCACACGTGAGAGGATTTGTGAAGATGTCCTACATCGGTGAAAGGAAAATCTTGTAAGGACTTACAAAACCATCTCCAACTTCTGGGTTAGAACTTAAATTTTTAAACCAGAAAATTTAGGTTTTAATCCAAAAACAGTTTTTTTGCCCAACCCTTCTAGATTAAATTGTTAGCCTGCAATTATTAAAGAAACAATTTAGGATAATTTTGTTCTTGAAGTAACTTTAAAAAAAAAATTATGTAATTCTAATTTTATTTTATAAACATTTTAACCTAAAAATATGTAGATTCAAGTAAATATTCAAAATCACTAAACCGACATCATGAAACTCGTGGAACACTATGGAAGAATAAGATACACATGAAAGATTTTTTTTTTTTGAATTAATTTAGCAGTTGGATTTAAATTTTGACTATTAGATCTTTTTTTTTTTTTTAACCATTAGACTTTATTATTTTAGGTCTTAGCCGTTGGATTCAATGCATAAATATAAAAACTTAAAAAAAAAAAATACATATATTGACCAAGCCCACTAACCTAGGGGAAATTATAGGCTAAATTGCCCTATAAATGAGTTTTGGGTTAAAAGTTATATTTGGCCCAAGGTGAGATCAAATTGGGGTAGGTTTAAAATCTAAAATTTGAGTTTTACTTTAAGAGTTAGAGCAAGTCTAAGAGATTGAGGTACTCCCCATTATATTGTCAATTGCTTTAAAAGTAGAATCTCAAATTTATTCATAGTATCAGAGCATGTTACCCACATTTGCCAAATGGCACCACATGCTTCATTTCACCCAATTCGTGTGGTTCACATGTTTGGCTTGAAAATGCGCCACACATGAGAGGCCTTTGGAGGATGTAAAGGTAAAAGGCTCCACATTAGTGAATGTAAAAACTTTACAAGAACTTATAAGAGATTGAGCTGCTCCTTATATTGTAAATTTATTTTATAGTGAAACCCCAACTTTCTATAATAATTTTCTATCTGTATTCTTTCTTCAAGTGGGTTTTATGCAACTTTTCTTTCTCTACTGAATTTTTGCCTATTCTTTCATGAATTGCACAACAAGTATTTTATCTTCAGTCAAAAATAGGATGCCGTTTTTTTCTTTCTTGATTGCTATGAATATACTACTTATTTAATTAATTAGCAATATGAGGATTAGATTTGAATAGATAACACAATATTTGCAAGGTATGTTGAAAGGAAGAAATGGTAAATTTGTTACTATCTTGGAGGTAGGAGATGAATATTATTCAAAAAGAAAACTTATAGATTCCTATCCACCATAAAATGACAATCTCCTCAAAATAAAAAATGATTCATTTATATTTTTGGGCATCACGTAAAATTCCATAACTTACGCCTCTTGTAGTGCTTGAATTTAGAGTGTTTCTCATTCTAATACAATCCTCTATACCAAACAACATATATCATGATTTTTTTTTTTTGAATAAATGATATTATCTACACTAATATGGTTCAAATTCGTCTTTGGTGATAATTGAATCTAAGATCTCTTACTTACAAGTGAAGAAAAATATCACTAAAACGAAGTAGTAAGGGGCATATATTATGAATTATCTGTTGCAAGTCTATAGCCCTTTGCTTATTATGTTCGTAATTAATAAACGTCAAGTTGCTAAATTGTCGATTTGCGAGTACCTTTCTAATTTGATATACCCTATACACACGCCTGCCACCGCCGACACTGGTTTATTAATTCCTTATATCTTACCCAGAGCAAATGCAATGTTCTGGACCATTTTTTAATTAAACATATGATCAGATGTATATTTTGAACTGCAAAATTCAGGTGCAAAAGATATAAATTATTAAAGCTAAGTGATAGCATTGACCTGGACTAAATTATGCCAAAAAAAAAAAAAAACAAAATTTCATACTTTATGGGTACTCAAAATTTCGTACTGTTATATGCACATAGATCTCAATCACCATATAAAAGGAACACTACCACATCAAAATTCCTCAAACTGCAAATATTATTTAGTTGGTTTCTCATATAATCAACATTTACCAAAGTAAGATATTTGTGTGTAGTTATTAGCGAGAATTGAATTTGGATCTCTTTTAATCTTAACCACCAGATTTACTACGATAGTATGGAGAATTGAATTTGAATTGCACGTTATATTATTGTATCGAAAAATCAACTGCGTTATAGTATCATGTTAGTTTGAAAGGAAAAAAAAAAGGATTAAGAAGCGTAGCATTGTCTAATGCAGGACGAATATACATATTATTTTCTGGACAATCAGCACACCAATATTACTGACCACTACGTGGATCAATTGAATTTAAACATCTGTCATTTGAAACCTATCCCAACAGTTGCTGACGTAATACCCAAACACCCAACTGTCACCTTATGTCCCTAACTAAACAGCAGCATCTTCTTCCCCTCGCTTCTTCCATGGCAGATCTCACCAGCCAATTCAACTCTCCTCCGTCAACCCCACCTCCATTCCCTTGTCCAACATATCTTCCGTCCTCCACAACAAGTCCGCGACCACGGCTACCTCGTCGACTCCGCCGCCATCGTTTGCAAGATACAAGCTGTAGATTTTAGCAATCGCGGAGCAATACTCTTTTGGAACGACGACGTCGATCCACTGCGGGAGACCGTCCTTAACAATGGCCGTCGTCCACGACGGAGGACGACTATTTACAGTTGCTGCAGAAGAGAGGGATTGGAGGTGGGTCGCTGGAGAAAAGAAGGATTGGTGGTGGAGGTGGCCTGTTAGGGTCGCCGGAGAAGAGAAGCCATGCCGGCCATGGCTTGTAAGATTCGCAGACTTGGAGGAGAAAGACCAAGTGGTCTATTTGGTTAAGGGTTTAATAAGAGAAACGATGTTTGGTTATTTAGTTATAAAACTTAAACATTTAACACATGTCTAGTTTTTATTGGGCCAAGTAAGTTAATGAGTAAAATGGGTACTGATCCAAATATTATTATTATTTTTTAGAGTAAATTGTAGCAATAATTCTTTAATTTTAACTTAATTGGAGCAATGATCCTTCAACTAAAAATCAATTACTATTGATCTCTCAACTTTAATCCAACTGGATAAATGATCCCTCAACTTTAACCCAATTCGAGCAATAGTCCCTCAACTTTAACCCAAATGTGGCAATGGTCCTTTCAACATAACTCGGTTTGACAAAATTTTGACAAAGTTGACGAAAAGAACCATAGCTTATACGTTTTGATGAGTAAAGGACCCTAATTGTAGCAATGATCATTCCAACATAGATTATTTTGACAAAATTTTGACGAAGTTGATGAAAAAGATCATAACTATACATTTGATGAATTGAGGGACCAATGGTAATGGATTTTTAGTTGAGGGACCATTGCTCTAATTTGATTAAAATTGATGGACCATTGCTACAATTTACTTTATTTTTTATCTCTTATTTTAAGAAATACATGCCGTAATAAGCCTGTAAGCTGTATTTAAAAAAATAAATTAAAATTTAAAAAATTTAAAAAAAAGAAATAAAAAAAAAAGAAGAAGAACTTCCTGGAAGCCTAGTTGGCAAATACAAAAGACATTGCAAGTCTCTATTTAAACCGTGTAACTCCACAGTCTACTTCATCTCAACAGATACTATTGAGCTAGCTAGATAGCGAGCCTGCTGCATACCTTGCCTTGTTTTTCTTCTACATTTTTGTGTTGAACCACCATCGATCATGGCTTCAAACCCCGACCAGCCATGGCTGCTAGAAAATGGCACCCTCAAGGGTTTAACCAAGGAGACCGGCCGGACCGGACGGACTGCGCACAACATGTCATCCTCTTCACTTCGGAAGAAGTCCGACCGCACACTTGTCTCCAAAGTTCCATGTGCCCTTCTCAGACAGTTTCTGGCGAATTTGCAAGAGGTTTTACTGGGGACTAAACTCGCTTTTTTATTCCCAGCCATCCCTCTTGCCATCGCTGCTCAGTGCTTTGGCTTTGCAAGAGTGAGTTTCACTTTAAGGGTTTCAATAAAACAGTGAAAAACAACATTTTTATTTAGTTAATTTCAAAACGTCATTTTTTCAAACTTGATTAAAATTAGGGTGCTTTAGATTTTGGCCCTTACAATTTATGATTCATAGATAAAGACCCATCTACATATAAACGTCCAATAAAAATTCAAATTTAAAATCGGCAACCACATCAGAACACTATTAACCTACTAATACAATTTATTTACACCCATGCCACTTTTCCTAATCCCTAAATTTATTTGAAATAAAAGTTGTAGAAAAATTGAAATAAAATATATAAAATGTTGTATTGGATTAATTGTATCCATATCATACCAAAAATTTACCTTTATATATATATATATATATTTTGCATTAATTGAGAATTAAATTAATTTGTTCCAATTATATAAATACACACACACACACACACACACACACTACACCTAGATTATATATATATATATATATATATTAATTTTTTTTTTTTGAGAAAACATAGATTAAATATTTTGAATCAAATAACATTTTTGTATACATGGTAGATAAATTATTTTCATGTATTATTACATATATTAGCCTATTAGGGGCATTTTTTGGTAAAAATATATAAAGTAATATGTATATGATTGTTTGTAGGTAAAAGATAAAATCAAAAGCATGATCCAATTCCTAAGTTTATGCAATATTTTGCATAATTGGAAATGAACATTTCAAATAGTAGGTAGGTAAATTAATATGGTCTAATTATATAAATACACACACATTTTGAATCAAATAACATTTTTGTACATGGTAGGTAAATTACCTTTTTTATGTATTATTACATATATTAGGCTTTTCTTTTCTTTCTTTTTTTGTGTAAAAATATATATATGAACTCATAATGCCATGCACATAGTGACACACCTCGACCCAGAATGTCCGTTAGGACTCTGAATCAAGTTATGCTGGCCGACACCTGGTCCATACTCGCTCACCGCGCACTTGTGTATATAGGCACTTTTAGTTTTAAATTTATTCACATTTTACATATTATCACATTCTATGGCTTCGTCACCTTCCAAGTGTTGGCCAGCACATCTCAATTTGGAGTTCTAGTGGGCATTCCGGGTCGGGGTGTCTGTTTGGGCCAACACAGCTTAATTTGGAGTCCTAGCGGACATTTCGAATCTGGGTGTGTCACATAGAATTAAGCCAACAATTTTCATATTTGATACTAATATGCAATGAATTTTTTAACATTAATGTCTTATTTTTCTTTTTGCAAAATCATTAACTCTCTCCTTACAATCTGCATGGAATTATTGTGCACATCAAATATGCAATAGGGGTATTTTAAGTATCTAAAAAATGTAAAAATGTGTAAAGTATATGTAATTAATGAATTCACTTAGGCGGATCCTAATCACTTGGGGTTTTTTTGAGTAAAAAAATTATGTCGGGTTTTATATGGAAAAAAATTGAATTTGAGGGGTTATAGTCATATTTTCAATTAAAAGATTAATTGAAGAAAGTTGGGATTTCACCATAAAACCAATTAGCAATATGGAGAGTATTCCAACCATTTATAAGCCTTTCAGTGGCGGAGCTAACAAAGAGTTATTGGTTGTCCTTGACCCAACAACTTCAAAAACCCATTTATATTTGTTTATGTATTGTATTTCACCCCTATAAACAGATAAGACAAACTAAATTACAACATCCACCTTCTACTTCTTCTATTTTCTTCTGTCATATTTATCTTTTTTTTCTCTCTTCTTGTATGAAATACTTTAGTTGAAAAGTCTTGGCAGTCTTCAATATTACTCTCCAGTATCCTGCATCACCCTTGACAATCCTCAACAAATGTCGACATAAATTTTCAGCATATGTTGACAAGAATTGGAAAGTGCCTACTAGGCCTTGGCAGTCTTCAACATTACTTTCCAGTATCCTGCATCACCCTTGACAAGCCTCAACAAATGTCGACATAAATTTTCAGCATATGTTGACAAGAATTGGAAGTTGCCTACTAGGTGTTCGGCAAAATGACCGCATAAACTTTTTTTGTTGATATTATGACCCCATTGTTTGAAAATCATGGTTACGCCATTGAAGCCCTTGCAAGGTTTGACGTGGAGCATGTGTGACCGTTGGGCTTCACATGTGAGCCAACCTGCTCTAATACCATGAAGAAAGTTGAAATTCTACTATAAAACCAATTGGCAATATGGGAGTAGCCCAACCTCTTATAAGCCCTTGCAAAGTTTCTCATTTCGCCAATGTGAAACTATTTTACCTTCATATCCTCACATTAGTGTCTCATGCATAAAAATAGAAAATATCTGGCTCCTTCTCTAGAAAAATTCATTCCTCCTTGCGGCGTTACTTACCATTTTACAATTATGCAGAAACTTTTCTTTTAAGGTTAGGAGAAATGATTCCTTACAAGAATGAGCCAAATAATTATGCATATATTGATTACTCCAGTATATATGTACATAAACTAAATGATATTTCAATATATCATTTGGTAAATAAATCTAATGAGTTTAAACTTGGTGCATAAATCTAATGAGTTTATATCGTTTACATATTATGTACGCAAATGTTTTTTACTGTAACCGTTCTGACTTCTTTTATGTGCTTGTAACTCTTCTGATTTCTTTTCTCAAAAAAAAAAAAAAAAAAACTCTTCTGATTTCTTTTCTATAACCGTAACCGTTCTTAATTCTTTTGTGATTGTAACCGTTCCGACTGTTTTTCTCTAACTACAACATTCTAATTTATATTAAACAGCCTTGGGTGTTTGCGCTGAGCTTAATTGGACTCATGCCACTAGCGGAACGAGTCAGCTTCTTGACAGAGTAAGTCTAATTTTATTAGTAGCGATTTTGACACTCACAACTTATATTCTCGGACTCACACATAAGTATATCAAAATCCTGTACTGGTTTTGACTGCGAGAAATTAAATGAGGAGTGCTAACTTTTCATTCGCACTATTTTATTTTAGTACTTATAGTAGTGTAATTTTCATTGTCATTGACATAAACTAAGCATTAAACCACACTAACATTGTACTTTTCTTTTCCCAAAAATGCAGACAAATTGCTTATTACACCGGTCCAACAGGTAATTCATTTCATTCTTATTATTTGCCCTACCATATATGTAATTATAAGTACACAAAAGGGCAAGACAAGAAGGAACCAGATTTATGAATTTCTCATAGACGTGCGGAAAATGATCGATTTATCTTACTCTAATTTATTTATTTTTGGGTTTGCAGTGGGAGGCCTTCTAAATGCGACCTGTGGCAATGCTACAGAGCTCATAATAGCAATATTTGCCCTAGCCCAACACAAAGTAGCAGTGGTGAAGTACTCTCTACTGGGTTCCATTCTCTCAAACCTTCTCTTAGTCCTCGGCACTTCTCTCTTTTGTGGTGGCATTGCCAACATGAAAAAAGAACAAAAATATGACAGGGTAAGCTGGCTTGGCTTGAACTAGACTATTTCAATTGAATTGTATAAATGTTATGGCCGTTGTTCGGTGAAATTTATAAATGTTGGAAGTCGACGTATTAAGTCTGTATAACAGTCCAACAATTATCTCTTCATTTTTAAACTTATCCTTGTCCTGGATAGTGTATGGTTTCATTTCATGCTTATCTAAAATATGTTGTTTGGTTGTTGTTCATGCAGAGACAAGCTGATGTGAACTCCCTCATGCTGCTTCTGGCTCTGTTGTGCCACTTGCTGCCAATGCTGTTCACGTTTGCTGCTGCAGGGAGCTCTACTGGTGTGGGAGTGGACCCCACACTCCATTTGTCCAGAGCCAGCAGCATTGTGATGCTCTTAGCTTACGCTGCATACATAATCTTCCAGCTGTGGACACACCGCGAATTATTTGAAGCTCAGGAGGTAAATAATTAAACAAGTTAACTAATTTAATTGCACCTTTCATGATCTCACAATCTGGTGTTCGACTAAGGAAATTGTGGGAAACTGTTCTTTTGCCAATTTGGACCACAAAATATGTCGGAATCTTTCCTGAATGTGTCGTTCAGATTCACAGTCTTCCAGCACAAGCATGGGGAGAATATTGTTATGCAAGACTCTTGAAACTGAATTTGCGGGACATTTTTAGCAGCATTGATAATTACTAACCTAGACATTTTGTTTATGGTGTTATGATCAGGGAGCGGACGATGATGTTGTTGAAGAAACACCTGATATAGGGTTCTGGAGTGGAATTGTGTGGCTGGTTGGGATGACTGCTGTCATTGCCTTGTTGTCTGAGTATGTTGTGGGAACAATTGAGGTAAAAGTCAGACCACCCTGATTGAATTAGTTACCTTATGTTGTTTACTATGTTAATATAAACTTCCTCACAACTTTTTTCAACAGGAAGCAGCAGATTCTTGGGGCTTGTCTGTCAGCTTCATCAGCATAATCTTGCTACCAATTGTTGGCAATGCAGCAGAACATGCAGGAGCAATCATATTTGCTTTCAAGAACAAGCTGGTGAGTCTTCAATCAATCGCATTGATTAGTTTCTCAGTGCATTTCTAAACATAATTAAGATTAATCTTTCCAGCACGTTTTTGTTGCCACTATTTATTTGGAAATCTAAGTTCTCAAGTACATTCTTTCGGATAAACGCAGGATATAACTCTTGGTGTTGCTTTGGGGTCTGCAACTCAAATTGCCATGTTTGTGGTAAGTATATATACACTAAGAATATTTAATGCTAGTTTTTCTTTTCAAATTTGATTCAAGCTTAATTTCTAATGCCATTTAAATGAACTTTCAGGTTCCGTTGTGCGTGATCATTGCTTGGATAATGGGAATTAACATGGATCTCAATTTCAGTGTCATTGAGACTGGCTCTTTGGCTTTATCAATACTTGCTGTGGCCTTCACATTACAGGTAATTAATTAACAATCTAATATTGCTAAACTTAACCTAATCAGCTTTCCTTCATTAACTGGCAAGCAACCATTTATCTCACTTTCTCCTTGATTTTATAGGATGGCAGTTCCCACTACCTGAAGGGATTGGTTCTTTTGCTGTGCTACATTATCATTGCAGCCTGCTTCTTCGTAAACAAATCTCCGCTTCGTAAGTGCTTAACAATCTAATTTGCTTGTTAATGTAACAATTAAAATTCTTCATATCTAAAACATGCGTTTTTCCCTTTAGATCAATCGAACATCCTGAACCCGGGACTTCAAACGTCCACTGGAGCAGTTCGTGGAGCTTAATTAAAGTGTAAGTTCATTACGATAGTTCAACGCAAATGTTTACATTCCAGCTAGCAAGTTATAAAGTTAATTAACACATGAATTAACTCAACTGATTGGTTTTGAAGCAGATTTGGCGTTTCGGGGTCATTATTTCCCGATTACAAAAGATTGAGCCTTGATCAGCAGGTTTTGCTGGATGGATGCAGCTTAGTTATGTTAGTTCAATTTGTGTTCTTGAGCCTGTCTAAAAGCAAACAATTTTCGTTTTGCTTGGGGATCCAAAACGAATTGGAAGCACTGTTGAAGCTTGATGATGACCGGCTACAGAATAGATATAATATATATGTCATGTATAGCTCCAGATCGTTTTATCATCTGATTTTTCATTTCATGTTCTGAATAAAGTTGTGGCACATGGCATAGAGGTCCATTTCTTTGATTTGTAATCCAATAAAAGAATAAATAAATTCAAGATTGGTATGGGTTTTGTAATTTATTTGTTCTCTTGTATGATTCAGGGAAAACGCTTGTTTAAGCACTTTAATTTCTTTTATGTACCTAATTAACAATATCTAGGGTACAAACCGACTCGTATATTTGTTGCCAAAAAGGACCAAAACAATGCATGCTTTAAATTTTGAAAGTGATTGAAACGAGAGGCCAAAATGATTGGATTTTAGCAGACAGACTATGATTTCATACAAAGATTTCCTTAGAAATTATAAGTGTAGTCAAACTAAGATTTTAAAGGATCGTAAAGGATTTTTAAAATGATAGATTTTATAGGATTTCAAAGAATTTGAATGAATTGTGATGGAAGGATTTGAAATCCTAGAGGGTGAAGTTGGATTCTTTTTAGTCTTGGTTATAGCTCTCAAATCCCACAAAATCCACAACTTATTAAAATCTTCCAAAATCTTAATTTTTTTAATACACTTAGATTTGAATGGATTTTAAAATCCTTTAAAATCTTTTAATTGACTATACTAGGATTTTAAAATCTTTTAAAATCCTTTTAAATCCGAGTTTGACTACACTCCCTTAAGCCTTAGAATTTCATGGGGTTCATTTCTTAAGATGGCTTGGAGTTTCATGAGTTTCATGGGGTTCAATCCAAAAAAATCTAAACATTCCAACCCTAGAGGCATTGACTTGAGATTATGGTGAGAACTCAAGGCTGCTATTAGGCCCCTTGAATGGACTCCATTGTGCCATGATTTGGGTCAGCTTATTTTTGTACTTGGGCTTCAGAAGGTTGGGCCGGCCTAACTCCTTCTTCATTCAAGGTAAGGGTTAGGTCTTTCTTTTTAGTCCAGAATTAACCCATTTTGCTTGTTTAATAAACAACGAAAAAACTTATATACAACTGAGCTGAGCACGTACGATTTTATATTTTTATGCCTATTTCTTATCTCATTTCACGCATCTGAGAGATAAGCATAGCCAGTCGGTTTTACTTAAGTTTTAGTTCACAAGTTGACTCACTCATCTCAATTTTTATTTATATCTTTATTCGTGTTGAAAAGTCTGATGTCTGATGACAATGAATGCCCACAAAGCAAAAGTCTTCAGCATGGGCAAAGTTTTTAATGCCCATGCAAAGTGAAAGTAATTGTATAGTCAGACGAAATTTCATAAATTTCAAGATGCATTAACTGCATCAGTTTGGAGTTGCTCTATAAATAGAGCACTCTGCATGTTTTCATAAAACAGAATATATAACAAGAAGAAAACAAGAGAGAAATATCAGTAACATCATCTATTCCTCTGCCTTTTATTTGTTATCCTCTTGTGCTATAAGTTTTAGTGTGACATTTTACATCTACCTTGCACCTACTACTGAAAAGGTTATTCTCTCAAACTTTAACCCTTTTATAACAATTCGTTCATACTCTTCGATTATTCAATCTCTTTCACTATTTTGGTTGTGAAACAAAATTTGTAAGTGCTAATTGATTTTTCAATCTAAGTATCTGTTATTTTGATTCTATGTTAATTATTATACTATTAACAAGAGTAATTTTTGTCCACCACTATACAAATATTGCCGATATACCTTTTTGTCCACCATAATATAAAAATGTTGTGCACCCTTTTAATATAGCCATTAATCCACATGCTACAAAATATATTGATCAGTTCATATTTTCTATACAGCATTAAATAATTAAGCATATTTTTTTATACGAGATTGATATTCTAAATTATTCTAATTTAATGAGATAAGTCATTAAACGTATATGAGATATATACGCGATTTTTAATGGCTTAACTCACAAGGTATTCTACTTTAGAGAAGGGCTAAGCTGAGGAGGGCTACTGCATATGCCTTTCTAGGAGCATTATGATCTGCAAATTAAATGGTCCCTTTTGAAGTCTTTATTGGTCTTATTTTTATTGTGCATCTTGTGATCACGTTTGGAACTACAAGGGCAATCACTCGGATGTCCCCCAACCCAACTCGGGAACAAACTGGGGGGAACTATAGCATGGGGAATTTCCACGTCTCGTCGCAAGGCTCATTATTAATTGTGGGTCATAGGGCGGGAAGCTTTATCTGATCAAGGGTCGGGGCACAAGAGTCCTGGTAAATCCAGGTGCGAAGAACCTTGAAATCAAGCACCCTTGTGGCCCTCTTCACTAGAGTTCGAGGCTCCCCTACCCTTCTTCCCTTCTTCACAAAACCCCACTTAAACTGTTGACAAAAAAAGGACTAAACCGCACAACATGTTACTCATTACTAACTACTAAACTCTACACAAATATTATACATTATCAACTAAATCAGTAACAGTATTGCGATAACATAAACAAGTTTCTCAAATTTTATGAAATGAGTTCATCATCTTCTATATATATAAAGTGCACCCCAATATGGTGAAACATTCAAAATACCTTGAATTGTCCTTTAAGAATTTCAAAAATTACAATTCAACCAAACTGAGTTAAAGTAATTTACCACATTTTAATTTTCAATGAATTTAAACTTAAAATTTTAGGGAAAAAAAAAAAAAAAAACTCCCACATTAGTGAGTGGCTAGGTTTCATGTTTTCATGTGGCAAGAGGCTAATCTATGTATATAAAGTGAGCATCCCAATATGGTGAAACATTCAAAATACTATAAATTGTCCTTTAAGAATTTCAAAAATTACAATTGAACCAAAATAAAATAAAATAAAATAATTCACCACGTTTTAATTTTTAATGAATTTAAATTTAAAACTTTAGAAAAAAAAACAAAAACTCCCATGTTAGTGGGTGGTTAGGTTTCATGGTTTTGCTTTATTTCTTTCTTTTTAATAAAAATATAAATTAGTTTTTCAATCCAACAATACATTACTATGTGAAGAAATACGTCATGTGATGAAAAATTTCCATCCATCTAAGTCATTCCCATATATTGTCACTTAGTACTACGGTATAGTGATATTTCTCTTCACTTGTAAGTAAGAGGTCTTATGTTTAATTCTCGCCAAAAGCAAATTTGAACCATATTATTACAAGCCCATTGTGAGATTAACCCTTATCTCTAATGTAGATAATATCGTTTGTTTTAAAAGAAAAGTAGTTGCCATATATTATACAAAGCCCAATTATACATAAAGAGAATTGTTATTAGCAATTCAAAAATCTTATTATACATTCCTCACAAATATATTTTTCTTTTTAATTATAGAAACTTTAAAATATCAAATAAGATTTTTAGAACGCGTAATAACAATTCCTTACGTAATATAAGCAAATGAACAAGGCCCCCAAAGGTCGCCTCCTTTTTAGAACACGCGCATTTCTTTCCATAGCAAATAATATATACGCGCCTGTCTCTACGGGTTTGAGAGTCGGAACAAAGTGTACCTTCCCGTGCTCTGCTCTCTCTCGCTCTGCAACTGCCTCCCTCGCCTTATCCCTTCACTCTTCCACCTCCCTTTTTCAAAATTCCCGCGCCATGGTCGAAGATTCCAGAGCCATTGTATCATGGCGGAGCATCCCGAGCCTCAACACCTCCCGCTGTGCCCTCACCGACGCCGCGGACCACCACGAACCGCTGTGGACGACCGCGCAGCTCAGCTTCAGCAGCGGCGGCAGTACTCGGTGCAATTTCACCTGCATTTCGGTGGCGGAAAGGGGAGAACAGAGGAACGAGTTTTCGCCGACCTCGGCTCAGCTGTTGAAGCATCCGTTGGCTATTCTCGCATGCGTGCCCAAAGACGTTGCTCTGTTTGCTGCCGGAGCCGTCGCTGGAGCCGCCGCTAAGAGCGTCACGGCTCCGCTTGACCGCATCAAGATTCTTATGCAGGTGCTCTTAATCTCTCTCTCTCTCTCTCTCTGCCTTTAATTTTATTACATTTCCGACAATTTTATTACCCGATATGCTTCCGTACGGCGTCGTATGCAGAGATTGTAGCGGCCCTTTGCCTTTTGCTTTCTGGTTTCGGTGAAAATACAGATAGAATGTTCAAAAGTTGTTGCTTCTGGGAAATTAAAGAAGGCATTCGTTACAAAATTTAGAATTTTTATGTGCATTTGTGAATTTTGGAAGTAGCTAATTTGAGAAAATAGCATAGAACAGAATACATTACTCTGGAATTTTCAAAAGTAATTCTGGGTGGTTGCTTTTGCTGCAAGGAAGGCAAAGATTTCTGATTGCGGGGAAAAAAATTCAATATTTGAGTTGTTATTCTGTTAATTGCGTTGTGGTTAAGGGCCGTAAGGTAGTAGCAAATCGTATTCTTCACTATTGCTTTCGATCTAAATCAAGTAGTAGTTTAATTGGAAATGTTCAGTACTCGAAAATCTGTTCACATCTTTGCAGACTCATGGCGTGCGAGTTGGGCAACAAAGCGCTAAGAAGGCTATCAGTTTTGTCGAGGTATGTTATGGTTGGTCCGGACCAGCCTCTGGCTCTGCCCAGTTTTTAAAACCTCATAAATTATATGCATTTGTCTTACAGTCATGCATTCAGCTCCATTGCCTGCTCGCTAATTTCTCATATTGTGGTTTTGTGGCTTACATAATGTAGATTTAAGATTTTTTCAAGAGTTGCGTAGTTTATGGTCTTTCAAAATTTTATTACTTTATTATTAACATATCTTTTAGAAGCATTTGACATTATCCTGTATGATCACCTCCTCATGTTTAATGTCGGGTCATACCCTGCAGGCTATAACAATGATAGGGAAGGAAGAAGGGATTAAAGGGTACTGGAAAGGCAACCTTCCTCAGGTTCTTTGCTGATTAAATTTCCCATTTTGTTATATTACTTTCCTATGCTCTACGGAAGGGTTTGCTTGAGTTGCATTTAATTTTTGAAAATTCTTTTGATTGTTTAGGTGATACGGATTCTCCCTTACAGTGCTGTCCAGCTTTTTGCTTATGAAGCTTATAAGGTAATAGTGAAACCCTCTTTACGAAAATGTTTCGTATAACATTCCATGTATTCAGAAGTTAAAGCTTCTTTTTTAATTTGATTTTGAAGAAACTCTTTAGGGGCAAAGATGGTGAGCTATCTCTTATAGGAAGACTTGCAGCAGGTGCTTGTGCTGGCATGACATCCACCTTTGTGAGTAATACATTTATAGTCATTTGTGGTACTGCGACATTTTTATTTGATGAGCCTTTTCGTGTTATCATCAACCTGTTTGTCAGGGTAGTACTCCATGGAACATGTAAACCGTTTATTTTACTTCTAAAGTCTACTCTATGGGTAGTCTTTAATATTGTTGATTTTTTTATCTACCTTTTTTCGTTCTACCTGTTACGTCGAACTATTCAAAGATGTACCATTTTCCTCCTTGTAGGTAACATACCCATTGGATGTTCTGAGGTTGCGCCTAGCAGTTGAACCAGGGTACCGAACTATGTCTGAGGTATGACTGACCTGATAGTGTTATTTATGAATAGCTGCCATTATCATCATGAAAGATGAATTTTGAAGTGTTGTTTCCAGATTGCCTTAAACATGCTAAAAGAGGAAGGAGTTGCATCCTTCTACTATGGTCTTGGACCTTCTCTAATTGGAATTGCTCCATATATTGCTGTGAACTTTTGCATTTTTGACTTGTGAGTCCACCCGTACCTCATTCTTTGTCACAATAAGGATAATACAATAATGTATTCTATGTTAGTTATAGTTGTCTTTGGATTGCAGGGTGAAGAAGTCTCTACCGGAGGATTTTCAAAAGAAAGCTGAAGCATCTCTATTAACGGGTTTGGTATCAGCTTCCCTTGCCACACTCACATGTTATCCTTTGGACACAGTGAGAAGACAGATGCAAATGAAGGGCACACCTTACAAGTCGGTTTTGGATGCCATTCCAGGTAAACCCATGGTGTTAAATATTTTTACCATCTGGCACTGAGATACAAGTGACGCATGGTGTTAAATATTTTCACACATGTTCTCTCTATTAACGGGTTTGTCTGTGTGTGTGTGTGTGACTCAAGTTATGGTATATAGGAAAATTTTATTATCTTGTTCTTCGCTTCTGTCTCTGTTTGTAATGAAGTTACATTTTTAGGTCCATAGTCAAAGTCATTGATATGAGTTGATGTTGCTTGTGCAGGTATTGTGGAGCGTGATGGACTTGTAGGCTTATATAGGGGTTTCTTGCCTAATGCTTTGAAAACTTTACCGAATAGCAGGTTCCATGCACACCCTGTCTATTGTTTCCCTCTCGCATTATGTTAAAAGTATATGTCGAATGATCTCATACCTAAGCGCAGTTTTGGTTATTGTTCCATGCTTGGGGATCTATCGATGCTTCAAGCCTCGTACTGTATTAGCTGATGAAATCTCCTTCTTTCAACTGCAGCATTAGGCTCACTACTTACGACATGGTCAAGCGTCTCATTTCAACCAGCCAAAAAGAGTTTCAGAGAATTGTGGAGGAAAATCGCAGTAAACACCGTTAAAAGGCTGTCAGTTGAACAGTCCAACATTTTGTGCTGCTGTATTGTATTTGGCTCACCAAACTACGCGAGTACTAGGAGGCTTAACCTTCACCAAATTTTGTTCCCGACATCATGTGGGACTTGTATTGTGAGGACTGAGCTGCCCAGTGAATGCTTTGTTCCGAGGTTCTATTTTTGTAGGACAATCATTAGTTCTAGTTCTAGTTCTAGTTAGGTTGCCTATTTTTTATGGAATTTTGTATTCCACCTGGCTATGCAGTGAGTTTGAGATTATGTTAGGTAGAAAATCTTGTTGTAATGTAATCGCTACAGGTAATGGAAGCTGTTTTGATTATAATTTTCATGTAGTAATTCTTTTCTTGGCTCAGTTATATCAGAATTGAACACACGATATTATAACACGTCAACATGTCTATGACACTTAGTTTATAAATTTTATGACTGCTGAAAAATGTGTCTGGGCAAGTATTACGGCAAAAAACTCGTTTCTGTTGCATCAATTTCTAGGCTAATAATACAAAGTTTTGTGAAAATACATTGACGGTATATGTCAGGAGGAATTGCATGAAACGAGAACTCAAAGTGATGGTATCTTAAATTAATCACACAACTTCGACAAAAAAAAAAAAATTAATCACAGACACCTTGTTGGTATCATAAGTTAAAATGCGGGTAACGGGTTTGGACACCACCACATTGGCATCCCCTTCTCACTTTAAAGCCTCCATTCAGGGGGCCAAACGAGGTCGTTTTGGAAGGCGGGTAAGTAGGCATAAACTCCGTTATCAATGTCCGTACAGTTTGGGTGGTAGAGGATCGAAGAGAGATGGAAGATAGATTTGACCGTTATTTCCGTTTTGCTGCAGCGAGCAGTGGAGATTTGGAGAAGAAGAAGACTGACTCTGCAGCTTCTGTAACCTCAAAAACCCTAATTAAACCCCCCCCTTTTCAACGTCCTTCAAACAAATCGCAATGCCTTGTGGCGCTGCTGCTCTGCAACTCTCGCTTCCTACCTGCGCTTTCAACAAATCTTCTCGAAAGCCTCTCAATTTCAGACATTGCCGTTTCCGAACCGTCGCATCCTCCTCCTCCTCCTCCTCCTCTCAAGACGGAGATGTTAACGACGAAAATCGAGCCGGAAACGGCAGGTAAGAGTTCTCTGTTTGGCTCCCGAGAAAATTTTTGCAGGAAAAGAAAAAGAGTAGGATTGGATTGTAAATTCGTGTTTTTTTAACAGAAATCAACGGCAGACGCAAGTGATTTTAGTGGAGAGATATGGAAATGGCACTGCTAAGAGGTCAGATTGCAAATTTGAAATTTGATTAACCTGTTCAAATTTTAAACCCCCAAATGTTGTTGATTTCTGTGCTGTTTTTATTGAATTGTGGTTTGGTTTCGCGAGCAGGTATGTGGTAGATGATGAATTTCAAGTGCAGACATTTGTCGAGGACGAACTTATTGGTTCGGTATCAGATAGTTCCGGGAGCTCACATTTCAACAACGAAAAATTATCATGGCTTCCGGATATTGTCAAAGATTTTATCTTTCCTGCAGGCTTCCCAGGTGACTGACATACCTTTATTTAATAGATTGTATAGAAGAATAGACCTAAACATGATTCGCGGTGCTAAGTTTTTAACTTCGTGCTTTTCACTTTCGTGCAGGATCGGTTTCTGATGATTATTTGTTGTACATGTTGTTACAGTTCCCTACCAATGTTACTGCATGGATATGCCATACCTTAGTCACATCTAGTCTCCTAAAGGTTGGTTGGTTAGTTAGTTAGTTAGTTAGTGGATGAATCATTTGTCTTTTGAAAATGGTGTTTTACATTGTAATCATGCGCTACTTGCAGGCTGTCGGTGTTGGCTCTTTCTCAGGCAGTACGGCTGCTGCTTCAGCGGCTGCTATAAGGTGGATATTCCTTTTTGTTTTCTGTATCTTTAATTTTTGTGGAATCATACGTGCAAGTTACGTTCAACTTCTAGGATTTGAATCTAGAGATTTGCCTAAGACTCGAAAGCAAAGGACATCATCTGTTCAGCATGTTTTATGTATAAAGCAACGTTTGTGTATCAATTCTTTTTGTTAGACTGAACTGTAGGCTATAAGATTGTTTCTGCAGATGGGTTTCAAAAGATGGAATTGGAGCTGTTGGACGCTTATTTATCGGTTTGCCAATCATAAAGAGAGCTAAATGGAATACAAGGTTATGTGCTGAATTTTGTCAGTGACTATGCTCTCCTTTTTCAGGTGGGCGATTTGGAAATGTTTTTGATGATGATCCAAAGCAGTGGCGCTTGTATGCAGACTTTATTGGCAGTGCTGGAAGGTTCATCTAACAAACTTTCTGTTGGATATTGCATGATTGAAATTAAAATGAATTGTTGGGTGATTAGATTTTTAATATATTATGCAGTATTTTCGATCTTACTACACCAGTTGTATCCTGCCTATTTCCTGCCATTGGCATCTCTCGGAAATCTTGCAAAGGTATAGAACTGCTATCCTATGATGCCTAGATTGGTTGTACAATCACATCTGCAGCACTAGCTTCTGTTATCTCTATAAGTTTGGTTCCTGAAAAATGCATTATTCCCTCTAGTCATTTTAATCCTATATTTTTCAACCATAGCAGCATTCAGCTGATGATTGAGTATTCCAATATTTACATGATGTTGGCATCTAAACAGGCTGTTGCGAGAGGGCTAAAAGATCCTTCAAACCGTGTTATTCAAAATCATTTTGCAGTTGAGGGAAATCTTGGGGAGATAGCAGCAAAGGTCATTTTTAGTTAACTTAATCAAACTTCACATAGTTATTTAGTCAACAAAAGAAGACAAAAGCTTCTCGTGATTTAGTAAAGCAATATTGCCTCGCTATATCTTTTCCCCTTTCATTGAACTATTTTTAAAAGAGACCGCTCTTCTCATAATTAATTGATCAAATGTTTCAGGAGGAAGTATGGGAAGTGGCTGCTCAGCTGCTTGGCTTGGGCTTGGGCATACTGTTCCTCGTAAGTTATTTTGTTTTTGATGATGATCTTTATTCTCTAGAAAGTAATGTGAACTTAGCAGTGACCAGCTTCTTTTTTTGATGTATTTAAATGATCTAGAATCGTGAATGCAGGATACCCCAGGCCTTGTAAAAGCATACCCAGTATTGGCAACGACATGGACGTTCATGCGACTACTACATCTTTGGTTACGTTATCAATCACTTTCTGTTCTCCAATTTAACTCGGTAAGACTGTCTCTCTCTTGCACTGGATAATAAGGGGAAAACTAGGAGATTTGATATAAGGGTTAGTTCATGTACAAACTATTCTTTATGTTTTACTTTCTTACAGCTAAATCTTAAGCGTGCTCGTCTACTGATTAAATCGCATGTATTACATTCTATTGTACCTGGTAAGATATGTACCTTTTTCTTATCCTCTGCTTATAGAGATGTTATATCATAAACAATGACCTTTCTCTCTGGTGGTTTAATTTAGGTGTTGTTGATTGCAATAGGGAAGAAAACATATTAATATGGCAAAGATTCATGAAACCACGAATTACATTTGGTGTGCCCTTGGAGGAGATGATTTCTGGAGAGAGAGCCGCTCCTATGGTAAAGTTTACGCTTACAAACATCTCACCATCTGTGTTTGTCAGTGGTTTGTTATACAGTCCTTCATTCTTTTATCTTCTCGTCTTTCATCCCTTAATAACAGGTGAAGGAACTTCTGGAATTATACGCAAAGGAGAAGTATATTCTTGTCGTGAACCAACAAATAAGCGAGTTTGAGGTCTTTGTTTCGTTCAAGGTATGCATATAAATTGCTAGTAAGGGTATACAGAAGATTGTTGTTCTCAACTTTTCATCCACCTTGAAATGACAAAAGAATAATATTAATGCAGGTTGGAGCTACGAGTATCTCGGTCTTACGAAGTGTGTGGCAGGCTTATTGGCTCCATGCCAACTGGAATAGCTTAGGAAATGCATTTGACCAACTTACAGAAAGCCGGTTGGAGATGGAAGACCGGTTCGAGGACTTCATCCAGCAGTTAAATGGAAGTGGATGGGATACAAATCAAATGAATCTGAAGGTCCCCAAGGAAATCTCGCTTGATGAATTGAACCCCGCTTGAGTTTTCATATACCGGCATCAAAATAGGCATGTAGGTTTCACAGATGACAGAACAAGCACCAAGGTTGATGAGTTTGGATAGTTCTTCCAAGAAGTAAATTGTACCAAGGTGAGGTCTGGATCAATTCCTAACCCCCAGAAGGATGGACTGCAGTGACAAAGCCACCAGCTGATCCTTTTTTGTATAAGAAAATTACAAAAAAAAATACAATTTTGTACCACTTTAGAACAGCCAAGTTTGTCCATAAAACATTTAAGTAAGCAACATGCCACATCAACCTATATTATATAATTTTATTTACTTAAATTGGCCATACTATTAGAGATATTGTCTTAGAAGTTACATTTTATGTTAATCTAGTGATAAGGATCTTGCACGGCAAGGTTTCAACTTGGATCATTTTAGAAGGTTTCTGCCTGTTGCCCATACTCTAGCCTTGGATTATCTCAATAAACAGCTTACTACTCACTACTCATCCAATCAGTGGCAAAGTAAAAGAATTAAGAATTAAACCAAATATTTCCTATATAATTTAACTAAAGAAGCGATTGTCAAGAGTTTGTAGCTCAAACGGTAAAAGCTTTTACTTCAGCACACGTCCCATATTTGTACTTCTCTCTCTCTCAATATCTCTGGCATTAAAAAATGAGTAAATTGTTGTTTAACCTCTAAACTATTATCCTAGTTGATATTGAACCTTTAACTATTTGAAATTAGCCATTAACCCCTCCCGGTCAAATTCGATGAAGTTTCTCCACCTTGCTGTCAAATACTGGCACGTGAATCAATCTTGTGGGTAAAGTCATGCTAGTATTTAACATCAAAGTGGATGTAATGTCATCGAATATTTCAGTGAGTGGTTAATTGGTTGATTTTTTTTATTTACTTGATTTTTATTTTTTTGTAACAAAAAGTTTGAGGGAAGATTGCCTACTCTCACCACCGTCACTAGGGCATACCCACAACCTCAAGCCGGAAAAGACTTATGTGTGACATCTAACTGCCAGCTGTCACAAGTAAGGATTTACATAAGAATTTACAAGTCGCGCACCAACGAGAACTGCTAGCAGCGGGGATCCAACTTGGATTGGGGTTAACCACAAGCACGTCCTTACCAACTGAACCAACCCTGATTCACAGAGTTAATTTATTAAAAAAAATATTCAGAGAATCAATTTCTAGTGGGATAATAGTTCACGCGATTGAACCACAGTTTAACCATAAAAAATATAAGGGTTAATAGATCCCAGTGCTATTGATCTTATATTTGAAAAGAATTTGTGATGCATAATAGTCCATCGAGCACTTAATTATATACAACTTGTATTAGTGGTTTGATGTCGAATCACAAAAAGGGAATGCTTGCCCTTGTTTGCAGCCAAGTTAATTAATTTGTTGATCATATATGCAATCTCTCTTGGGTTGCCTTGTCATTATCATCCAATTAATCAATCATTAAGTCTCTAATCCTTAATTGATTGCATTTGCTTGCGTTTGTTAGTTCAATGCTTAATGTATGTTAGTAGTGGTATTTGATGAAGATAATTCTAATTTGTACACCATCTTGTTAATAACTATACGTTGGTCGTCAAAATTTTAGCATGTCTACTCTAATATCACGTTAAGATTTTAAATTAGCAGTTCTCATTTCTAATCAATATTAATATTGTCTTTAACTTAATCATTTGAATATACCAGCATGTACGAAGTTTTATGCACGTTTTAGCAGTACAAAATGCCGTAATTTTTTTATGATATTTTTTATTGGCAACTCCGCACCGTGCAGCATAAGAAAAAATGTGTTAATCTTGATAATTATTTTATTTTCTGCTTAGTGTTTGTTAAACAATGTTGGTGGACAATAATTAATTTCTAAAGCAATAGAAATACATTAATATGGACTACAACTCTGCAAGAAACCTCCTTTTTAATGGCATATATATATATATAATCTTTCCCCATCAGGGAACCACCATCCCAAATGGTTCTAGCATTACCATACATTAACAATGAGATACATTATATATTAACTATAGTTAATCTGTCTTAACATTGATTACCTATATTATGTTTGATGATAATATTTTTATGTGTACTTAGAACACTTATCACGTGTGGTACTATTTATAAGTTGATATATCATACATTCAGGTTTCCCTTAATTTACTTTGATTATTTTACTGTATTTATGCCTTGCATCCAAGAAATGCACCTCATACGCCTCAAACAAAATTGACTGAAGCAATAAAAGAAAAGTAATTTATATAAAACGAAATTATCATTACGTAACATTCTAATTCAATAATACAATTTCTACTAAAAAAATCTCTACAAAAAACGAACTCTATTCGTTGTACAAACTGATAGAGTTCTATTCACATGGGGCATGAAAACAAAATGTCCGAGTCGCTATATTATATCAATTATTTTCCACATAATAGGCCAATAATAATACCATACTCCCGACTCCATGATGAACAAGGGAAGAGATTCCTACGGATCTCTCCGTCCAAATTCTAAGAATTTAGAAAATTGGATTCTAAAAATTTGATTTAACGATTACAACTATTATAACTTTTAAAGAAACTTTCTATTTATAATTGTTGGATGAAATTTCAAAACTCTGAATATCTAAATTCCTAAAATTTGATGAAAGAGATTCGGAGAACAATGTTACAATACAGCTCAGAGAGCCCCGTCGCTTCACCAATCACGACACGTCGCGCTTGAAACAACCACCAAACGCGGGACCCACAAACAAACGGTCGCACCAGATCGTCACACCAACAGCTCGAATATGGCTTCGTCCCTGTCACCGTGCACGTAGCACCTCTGCACCCCACCGCCTCAGCGACGTCGTTTTCCGCAAACACAAATCGCGAGTCGGTAGGCTAAACGGTCACTCGCGCGGTGATGATGAAAGATATCGGCAAACGGCCTCGTCGTGAATCTCGAAGCGGGTAGAGAAGGGTAAATTAGTTATTTCACAATTAATATTTTCTTTTCTGTTCTTTTTCGCTCTTCTTTTCTTCATTAATAGACTGTTACGTGTGCTCTAAGCGAAAACCAAGTAAGCCCCAACCCCTCTCTCTCTCTCTCTCTCTCTAAAACCCTTCTCAGTGTGCACGATTCTCTCTCTCTCTAACGCCTGAGGAGTTACAGATTCACAAACACAAAAACCAGTTTTATAAGTTTTGATCTGATTTTTCTTCCGGTTGTAGAGAGAGAAAGGGTCATATATTTTCTGCTGTTTTTGGAGAGAGAGGATTTTTGAGGTGGGTGGGGAGTGATGGATGTTTAGGGTTTTCTATGGGAGGGATGAGAAAATAGTACAAACGATCAAGAAAAGCAAAATGCGCAAGTCTTTCAAGGATTCTATCAAGGCACTCGAAGCTGATATCCAGTTCGCCAACACTCTGTAAGAACTCCTGTTCTTTCTCTCAAATTTCATCCCTTTTTGTTAATTTTTGTAAAACTTTCAGATTCTGGGTCGTACCCAATTCCCAATTTTTCTTTTGGGTTTATGTGATTTTTATGGAAAATTATCGTACTAGCAATTTGATGATTTTTCAGAATTTGGGTTCTCTGTTTCACATAATTTTTGTTAATCTCTTATGTTTCTGGATTTTTTTCATGTACTTAGTATTGCAGAATTTACTCATACTTCTATATGTTGAACAATTCACTACTGGATATTACTGTTACTGTATAAGGGTCTGAGCTTTCTTGCATCCATTTTTCATGTCCTTGTAAGTAGAGAATTATCGAATAATTCAAAATTTAAAAATAAGTGATCCAGCTCCAGACCCACAATTTACAATTTGAGGATGTGAGGCTGGTTGCTATCGATTCTTAGCATACTTGTAGAATTTCGGTTTCCAATGTTAGGCTCGATGTATCCAAACTGCCTCTTGATTTGGTAGTTGTTCTTGTTCAAACTCTTACTATTTGGTATAGGGGGATTTGAGCTTGTTCTTTCTGCTTTTACGTGGATATTGTGGGACCTGCAATTAGGTATTTTCCGATAAGTTGGGTAACTTATTTCGGTAGAACTTCAAATCTGCAGTTAATTTTGATCCTGTCCTCTTCACATCTTGCCAATCTGGGAACTTTTGTTGGTCCACTGCATAATCTAATGTTTTACTTTCTGAAAATTTTGTTTTGATGCATCATTTGCTTTGGAATTTTCTGAGGGAGATATGCATCTTATGGGTTTTATCCATTGAAATTTTATTGTATACAGGGCTTCTGATTATCCGAGGGAATACGACGGGGCCTGCCTCCAAATGAGACTATCCTATAGGCCGGCCGCACAATTCTTCTGGTTTCTTATTCGGTGGACTGATTGTCACCTTGCTGGAGCCTTGGGATTGCTCAGAATTCTAATATACAAGGTGAATTGCAGTTTATTCCACGCCTATGTGATGTTATTTTAGCTTAGTTGATAGATAGTGACCCCTCCGTCCAACTTTTAATCTGGTGTATTGGTAATAAAGAATGGTAGCTTCTTGTCTTTGCTGTGATGGTGTCAATTTTGTCGCAGGCGTACGAGGATGGGAAGACCACCATGTCTATTCATGAAAGAGAAGCTAGTCTAAAAGAGTTCTACGGTAAGTAAATTGATGGCGATTTGTGTTCTTTTATTCGAATTCTTGAACAGAAGTGTTTATAAAATAACGATGTACAACTGTTTAGCAATCCCATTTTGGCTGTTTCAAAACAGGCGTGATATTTCCCTCGTTATTGCAACTCCAGAGAGGAATGACTGATGTAGAAGATAGGAAACAGAAAGAAATCTTATCCGCCAAGTACAAGAGAAAAAATGAGACGGACAAAGGAAAGCTCACCGAAATTGATTTAGAGCGAGAAGAAGAATGTGGTATTTGCATGGAGATGAACAGCAAGGTTGTATTGCCCAATTGCAGTCATTCTATGTGTATGAAGTGCTACCGAAACTGGTAAGCAGCTGTTACTTTGTCCTTCTTTTTCCCCTTTTGCTTGTTGATTTTATTTTCTCATTTTTCTTAACGAAAGCACAAGTGGTTGAAGATTCTAGTAATCTTTACTTGCACATAGATAGGCTGAAATTTGGCTGAAACACAATAATTTAGATCGGTATACTTCGAAATTTAGCAGTTGATATACCAGATGACGGAAATATTTCTTGGGTAGACGTTTCTATACTGCAAGAGTGAATTACAGTTAGAGACAAACACTAACAAGAATGAATTGAAAGTGAGAAGATGATGTTCGGTTCTCGTAAGTGATAACATAGCACGAAGGTCGAGTCATCACTAGCATATATAATCGGAATCTAAGACGTATGTTTTTCCTTTGGCTACATCAATTCATGCAAATATGCACAGCTGAGAAGATTTCCCCTTTGATTTATCTAGGCGTACACGGTCTCAATCGTGCCCCTTCTGCCGGGACAGTCTCAAAAGAGTCAACTCAAGTGATCTTTGGATCTACACCAGCAACAGCGAGATTGTTGATCTGTCTGCAATCTCTAGGGAGAATTCGAAGAGACTTTTTATGTACATCGATAAGCTTCCTCTCATCGCCCCAAATCCTGCGTTTGTTTCGTATGATCTTCGTCGGTAAGGGGTTTATACTCGCATGTTCTTTCGGTCCTTGTTATCAGTAAGGACAATTAACAGGGGCTGGAGTATCAACGGGGACATTCTCATTACAATTCTTTCCATATTTCCCATTTAAATTGGAAAATGTAAATAGTGTTGCATTACTTTGACAATTTTTTCTTTAATTTGTAATTAATTGCAATACTACCATTTTATTTGTGTTAGTTTAGAGGTTCCTTATCTTTGTAAGCAAGCATGAAAGTTGTTTTCTTTATTGGTGGAAAGGCAAGGCGGAACACGGTGTGTAAGCAACCAGTTCCCGATTTTTCTTCCAAGGGCCGGGAACCTGTTTGGTGGAAGATGCGGCGCTGCCGCACGCACATCGATCATCCAGACCGCGGTAGACGCCGTGCCGATAGTGACCTACACATGATTCATTACAATTTTCAGATGCTTATGCACAAGCTCTCTTAAAAAGACAATGACGCATCTAAAGCTGAACATTACAACATAGAATCAACTGTTCAGATATTAATATCCAAAAGAGGTGAGCATATATGTACAGAAACAAGTGCATTTTGATGGCGATTGCTTGATCCTATGTAGTACTAGCTTGGTACTGATGAGTTTTAAAAGAAAAAAAAACGGGTATAAAAAAAAAAAAAATGTGTTTGATAAACATTCAACTTCAGCATTTTGTTTCACAGTTTTGGATGAAAAAAAACTAAAAGTAGTGATAAAAATAAACCTTGATATGTAAGTTATTTTCTAATCTTATGGGTTTATGCTAAGACAACTTGGGTCTTCCTTGTGGATTGAGCTTTAGGAAAACACCTTTATCTCACATAATTACAGTTTTAGGTAAAAAAAAAAGTTAAAAGTAGTGGTAAAAATAAATTACTCGTTTAAGGAAAAAAAAAGTCGAGCAATGCTCTGTTGTACAAAATTAATACGAAATGGAAGAAAATCACTGAGGAAGTGGCAACCACAAGAAAAAAACAAACTAGATTTTATGGTACTTGTAACCTCAGCCACAAGAAATGCCACAACAGTCAAGTGTGTCCAAATTTCCAAAACCCTCCCTTCAGATAAGGCAAAGATAAGGCCGATACCCTCGCAGCCGTCAGATGGATACTCTCCTCAATCCAACGCCCACGAACCCGCCACACCGGATCATCCATTCGAACCCGATAAAATACTTCAACTTCCACCTCCACATAAATCCCAATCAAATTCACTTAAAACATACATTGCAATCTTAGCACACAACCATGGCAACAACCACAGCTGCTGCCGCCGCTGCATCCTCATTCATCGGGACACGCCTTCCGACCGACGCGTACTCGAACTCGGGACGGGTCCAGGCCCGTTTCGGATTCGGCGCCAAGAAGCCCAAGAAAACAAAACCCACTTTCTCAACAGACCGCCCGCTCTGGTACCCGGGCGCCAAGGCTCCTGAATGGCTGGACGGGAGCTTGGTGGGCGACTACGGGTTCGACCCGTTCGGTTTGGGCAAACCCGCGGAGTATTTGCAGTACGACTACGACGGGTTGGACCAGAATTTGGCCAAGAACTTGGCGGGTGACATTATCGGGACCCGAACAGAAACCGCGGACGTCCAGTCGACGCCGTTTCAGCCTTACACGGAGGTGTTTGGGCTGCAGAGGTTTAGGGAGTGCGAGCTGATTCATGGAAGGTGGGCCATGCTCGCCACGCTCGGTGCTCTCACTGTTGAGTCCCTCACCGGGATCACATGGCAAGACGCCGGAAAGGTAATTAACTTCCATTTTGCATGTTTTGATTTGGCGCCAAATCAAATTGACTATATTCTACCTCGTTTCGAAGTTCGTAATTTGATTCACTCCTCACGATCACTTAAATAGAAAAAATTCAGAGAGCAACAAAGAAACAAATTAGGCTCTTTCTATGGTTATCACGCCGATTAATTCGTTTGAAAATTAATAAATAATGTCTAGACCTGCTTATGCGCTCGTCTAATCTGCTCATACTTGTCTAAGTATCTGCCTAGGTTATATCTCTCACTTAGACATAAAATACATAATTTTTAGTTTGCATTTTTTTTTAAATAAATTTTAAGACACTTGTTGAATACTTTTCATTAACTTCTAATACTTTATAATTTATATATTATTCTATTTTGCAAGTTAGTATCTCAATAAAATTATGTATTTTTTAAGTAGAAATAGACACTTATTTATACAATAATAAAATTTTTTAAATCCAACCTTAGCCTTAGGCTCTAACCCACCACCTGGCTAATGTCTAGTATCTTTTAAAACCTTCAAGGACGATGCTTACATGAAGTGTATTTTTTCGCCTGTTCACTTCACCCAGTCAACACTAATTATGTTGACCTATTTGTACAGGTGGAGCTCATCGAAGGATCATCCTACTTGGGTCAACCACTGCCTTTCTCACTAACCACGTTGATCTGGATCGAAGTTCTAGTGATTGGCTACATCGAGTTCCAGAGGAACGCCGAGCTCGACCCGGAAAAGAGGTTGTACCCGGGTGGCAAGTTCTTCGACCCGTTGGGTCTTGCTGCTGACCCGGAAAAGAAGGCCACTCTTCAGCTGGCCGAAATCAAGCACGCCCGCCTCGCCATGGTTGCGTTCCTGGGGTTTGCCGTGCAAGCCGCCGTCACCGGGAAGGGACCACTTAACAACTGGGCTACCCATTTGAGTGACCCGCTCCACACCACCATTATTGACGCCTTCTCTTCTTAGAGAAGTATCTTTATGTGCATATCATGTTTGGTTTTTTAATCAGTAGACCATGATCATGTACCGTTGGTTAATCAGCTGAATCATGATATGTACTGCTTAAGCTTGTAAAGATTGTGATGGGATCAAAGGATTAGTGTACGCAATGGCATGTGAGCTTTTCCTACTTGCTAAATGACTACATGGTTGATATGTTACATTGCTTGCTTTAGACGTAAAACAATTTATTTCGAGTTAATAAGTATATTTTTTAACCACCATGAGATGACTCAGTGGTTGAGGATGAATTCTAAACTCGTATTTTACATGACACTTTCTGAGTTTGATTTGGACGTTCATGAATCACATGATGGTGACTAGGGAAGGTTGAAATGCCTCTATGAGTCTTCCTAGCCTCCGATATGATGGACTTATGTGTCGAAATCATGAAGTCATCAACTAGTCATTTTTTAAGGTAGAAAAAGTTAACCTTTTTTTCACTTTATATACTTGATTGAAAATAAACATATTGCATTCACCAATTTCTTTTAGCCTTGATCGACTATTTAAGATGTTCTTATGGGTGAATAAAATCTAATTACAATTATCTAATTGAAAAATTCAAAACCCTAAGGACCCAATTGAAGAAAAGAAAACATAGCATATCAAGTTCGAGATTCAACCATAATAACATAACTTACCAATTTGGCGACGAATAAGAATCTCACTCCATATAAAATATCGTTTTTCTTTTAAAAAAACGATCGAAACTGCAATAAATCAACTTAATTGGAGTCATTTTTTTATCGCGTAAAAAAAAAAATAGAGTTCTACAAGGTTTTGTAGCTCAAATGACGAAGAATATTTATCACTGCAACCGGTGTAGATTCAAACTCCCCTCCTACAGTAGTCTTAACTCTTTGATTGGATTGGGCTTAGAATTCCCAATTTTGCAACTTCAAACGGCCCAAATCCGGTAAAATTCAAATCCCTTGAGCAAAAAGCATCTGTTAGCTCAAAATCCGGAAAATATTCCAGACTTCGCTTCTCCTCCAAATCACGAGTCCACGACGGCGGCAGTACACGACCTCCTCCTCCCTCCTCATCTCCATTAACGAAGGCTCCCGCCGGCGAAGGAAGCTTCTTCGACAGCTAATTCGAAACATTCCTAATGGTAACCTTCTCCTTTCCCTCTCGTCCATTGGGCTCAGCAGGTGTTTGATTGTTTGCCTCTGAGAGACTGGATACTGTTTTTGCTTGTATAAATCTTTTACGTTAGCTATGAACTGTCTTTTATGTTTGGTAAATTTGATGATAATGTTACAGATGGTTCCATGTTGCGCATGAAATGTGAATATTTACGGAAAAAGATTGGACATGGGAACTCGGAGTGGTTTGTGGAATTTCGGCAACAAGTTTTTCACATGTGGGATCATAGGCTTATATGTTTCAGACCGATTTGCGAGTGTTGCTCCGGTGCGCGGTTCCTCTATGTCGCCTACGTTAAACCCTGGAACTACTTCTTTGATGGGCTTGCCAATTGGTTGGTATATTGAAAGATATCTTATTAAGATTGTTGTGCTGTGCAATGTGATGGTTTATTTAGTGGTCTGATTGTGATTTGGTTGCAGATGACTATGTTTTGGTGGAGAAACGGTGTCTTCAAAGCTACAAGTTTTCACATGGTGACGTGGTAGTTTTCCGGTAATTTTTGCCCCCAATGTTGCTCGAATACCATTTGTGTCTGCCTGTCTGGTGAATTGTAATAAGAAACTAGACTTGTTGGAACATTTTGCAGCTCCCCAAGTAACCACAAGGAGAGTCACATAAAGAGAATAACTGCCTTACCTGGTGAGTGGATTGGAACACGTCGTTCCTATGATGTGGTGAAAATTCCAGAAGGACATTGTTGGGTTGAGGGAGACAATTCATCTTCTAGCTTGGATTCAAAGTCGTTTGGACCAGTAAGTTCCCCTTACTGCTAAGTTTGTGCACTACAAACAAGTAGTTTAGCTGATAGTATAATTTATTATCATGGCCTTCATTAGTTTGATTTGCTGCCTAAGATGTGAAACCCTTCGCAGACTAGGTATCTGAACTTACTTCTGTATATTTATGGCAAATCACTCTGCTTGTTTATGCATACTCTAAAAAATTTTGAAATGCGGAGTAGGATGGAAATCGTTTAAATGAGACAGTATGTTATTTCAGGACATGATAAAGTTGAAATGCTGTATAGGTAATTAGTTTGGCATTAGCACAAGACTTATCATTTTGAAAGAAGTTTGCAACGCGAGGTTATGCTAGATGTTTTTGTAATGCTTGACATGTTTTAGGAATTTCTTTCAGAAGTTACCTATGATCATTTTCGTTCAATTGTCTGCATCAGAATTCATATTGCATTTTTGCAAATTAATTTGAAAATGTTGGCTTTCTTCTACTTTTTGGACACTTTGGCTAAGTTAAACAAGCTGTTGTTGGCAGATTCCTCTGGGTTTAGTTCAAGGAAGGGTTACCCACATTGTGTGGCCTCCTCAGAGAATGGGTGCTGTTGAGAGAATAACACCGCAAGACACGATTTCATCGTCATAGTTGGACACACCTGCTGATCCCCACTTTTGAACGGGAGAACATATACTTTTTCTTTCTGGAGTTCTTATATTTTGACCATTTGCCATGGCAGCAGCCTTTTATTGGAATATTATTAGTCAAGGAAGATCAAGTAAGGTCGTTTGAACTTCCGGCCCTCCTCGAGGTTTAGCCATCAGCTCATCAAGTTCCTTGTCTTAGCTCTTGTTTGGTTCTCTATCTAGTTATTTTCTTGTGCTAAATCTCGTCCACTGGTCAATTTAACAGTCTCTAGATTATTGATTCAACAAAAACTTCGTTTCAAGAAAAACTTAGTTTCGTTGTGAGTTAATTTTTTGTAAACTGGTTTGATTTCATTTAGAGGCTGGGGAAGTTTTGCTTTGTACCCTGACCTAGCGGTAGCCCTTCGTTGAGGCGGCTTGCCCCTTCCCTGGAGTTGGATCCAGTTGCGTGGTGAAACTAACTCTGGTACCAATTACTAAGAGCTTCTACTTCCCCCTAAAAATCTACTTGTAAGGGAAGGGTGACCAAGAGCTCCTTAAACCACTTCAAGAATTAAGGTACATTATATGATGTGGGATCACCGAGCTCTAAGAGCAATTACGTATTTATCTCTCATCACAGCGTGAATAGTCACGTGATAACAAGGATAAACACATGACTGCATAAAACTAGTGATGGTATAAATTTTCTCGTCAAAAGAGGAAAACAAAGGCGAAAGAAAAAAGTTGCAAGTCTAGTGTTCTAAATAAAAAGCCCCACTTAGGGCTGCTTAGGCCTCACCTAGATGTTAGGTGGTTTGTCACTGTCATGATTAATTTATAGGCATTTAAAATATAAGAATGAGCGTAGACCGCCTAGGTTGCAACTTTTACATAGATAAAAAATAGATAACTTTTATTTTATATTTTATGTATCGCTAAACAATTATGTATTTTTTTTAAGTATAAATAAACATTTTTATATGTTATATAATATATTTAATTACAGAAGTCTAGACGTTTAGGCACTGGACTTGTGGAACCATGTCTAGTTGGATTGGGTTGGCCTTTTCTGCTTTGGTCTAGTCACACCAAGTGAAACGTTTCCTTCGTGTCCTTTGGCACCGTCTTGGGAAAGGGATTGGTGAATTGTATATTTCTCTCCGTTCTCCAGCCAAATCAGAGTCTCATTGGTTTCATGGCATGTCCCGCTAAATAATGGCTTTCTCCTCCTCGCACTCTTTCTCCAACCCCTTTCTACCGTCGCCTTTTCCTATTGGCGACGAGTTGTTTTACCAAACAATAGGCCATGAGAATTCTTCCTCTTTTTTCTTTTTCCTCAAACGGAGGTATTTTTTCTTTTGAAAAGTTTTAAACATGTGCAAACCTTATTTATTTCTGAAAAATAATAATAATAATAATAATAACGTGATGCATATGAACGTACTCACGTTAGTGGAGTGATCTCCTAACGTTTGAGTTTGAATCTCTTTTTCCCTTTTAGTGCAGTTTAGATTAGATCAGAGTTAAAGATTATTTGTATAAGAATAATAATGAAATACATTGTCTTTTTAATCTGAGGAGTCATTATCCGATAGTGATGCAAAGACTATTAATTAACAGTTTCTAGATTAACATACAATAGGCCATGAGAATTCTTCCTTTTTTTCTTTTTCCTCAAATGGAGGTATTTTTTCTTTTGAAAAGTTTTAAACATGTGCAAACCTTATTTATTTCAGAAAAATAATAATAATAACGTGATGCATATGAACGTAGTCACGTTAGCGAGTGGAGTGATCTCCTAACACTTGAGTTTGAATCTCTTTTTCCCTTTTAGTGCAGTTTAAATTAGATCAGAGTTAAAGATTATTTGTATAAGAATAATAATGAAATACATTGTCTTTTTAATCAGAGGAGTCATTATCCGATAGTGATGCAAAGACTATTAATTAACAGTGTTTAGATTAACATACAATAGGCCATGAGAATTCTTCCTTTTTTTCTTTTTCCTCACATGGAGGTATTTTTTCTTTTGAAAAGTTTTAAACATGTGCAAACCTTATTTATTTCAGAAAAATAATAATAATAACGTGATGCATATGAACGTAGTCACGTTAGCGAGTGGAGTGATCTCCTAACGCTTGAGTTTGAATCTTTTTTTCCCTCTTAGTGCAGTTTAGATTAGATTAGAGTTAAAGATTGTTTGTATAAGAATAATAATGAAATACATTGTCTTTTTAATCAGAGGAGTCATTATCCGATAGTGATGCAAAGACTATTAATTAACAGTGTTTAGATTAACATACAATAGGCCATGAGAATTCTTCCTTTTTTTCTTTTTCCTCAAATGGAGGTATTTTTTCTTTTGAAAAGTTTTAAACATGTGCAAACCTTATTTATTTCAGAAAAATAATAATAATAACGTGATGCATATGAACGTAGTCACGTTAGCGAGTGGAGTGATCTCCTAACGCTTGAGTTTGAATCTTTTTTTCCCTCTTAGTGCAGTTTAGATTAGATTAGAGTTAAAGATTGTTTGTATAAGAATAATAATGAAATACATTGTCTTTTTAATTCTAGGAGTCGTTATCCGATAGTGATGCAAAGACTATTAATTAACAGTTTCTAGATTAACATACAATAGGCCATGATAATTCTTCCTCTTTTTTCTTTTTCCTCAAATGGAGGTATTTTTTCTTTTGAAAAGTTTTAAACATGTCCAAACCTTATTTCTTTCAGAAAAATAATAATAATAACGTGATGCATATGAACGTAGTCACGTTAGCGAGTGGAGTGATCTCCTAACGCTTGAGTTTGAATCTCTTTTTCCCTTTTAGTGCAGTTTAGATTAGATTAGAGTTAAATATTGTTTGTATAAGAATAATAATGAAATACATTGTCTTTTTAATCTGACGAGTCGTTATCCGATAGTGATGCAAAGACTATTAATTAACAGTTTCTAGATTAACATATCAAATTAAAAGAAGGATACTAACTTTTTTTTTTTTTAGTAAATCGACAAAGCCACACAATAGGCAACCTAATTTGGTATCAAATTCACCATCCACGAAATTCAAACGTAAGACCTTTCACTTTGAAGTGAAGAGAAATACCATCAAACCGTAGTACTAAGTGGCAGAAGGATACTAACTTTTAAATACAAGCAAATTTGAAAAACACTAATGCTAATCATTGTGAAGTTAAACTTACATCTCTTTTCTTTAGTATAGATAATAACATTTGTTAAAAAAAAAAACGTATCATTTATTTTGCTAACTCTAACGAGGGACGAGAGATTAGCGATAAACAACCCAACATACCAAAACAAGGCCTTCCAAATCCACCCAACACATAGATTTTCCTGGTATTAATCTTTTCTTTAAAATCTACATTTTTTTCCTTGAAGTTATCAGATTCATTCTAATTTAATTTTGTTTTAAAAAAAAAAAATTACATTTCTATAATTTAAAGACAAATTATTTTACTTAAAAAAGATAAAAGAAATAAAAATGAAATAATGAAAAAAGTTAATTGTCTTATTGTATATTTACACTCGGAAAAGCACTTTCTCTGTTTAAAAGCTGGCACTTCTCGTCTTCTCAATTCTCGATGAAAGCCTTCGTTTCTCTTCAGCTACCTCTGTAACTACCGGCAAAGATCACACAAAACCCATTTGTGCGTCGTCGTTCTGTTCTTCTTCTTGTTCTTCATATCACACAGTTATTGGAAGTACATGCCTGCATTGTACACCTTTTCTTTCTTTTTTTCGTTATTTTTTCCCTTAAATTTTCAGGTTTTAATCACATTGACGCTTCTCAAATTGTCGTCGACATAATTTCTGGGTTTCGTTTGGAATGCTTGAATTTCTAACATGGCGGCCGATCTTGGTGTTTTTGCAGGAAAGAAAATCAAGAAATTAAGGAAGCTGAATTGTTTTGAGAAAATGGGAAGGCTGTTTGTGACCACTCTTGAGGAAAACATGTATAGCTGCAAGCACTGCAGAACCCATCTCGGTCTTGTGGACGACGTAATCTCTAAGGTCCGAAATGGCCTTCTCCGTGATTCTGTTTGTTATGGATTGTTACTGTTTATTTGCATAATGCACTCTACCTACACATTCATGAACTCTGTGAAATTGGGATGCATTGTTGTGATATGTAAATCTGTGGCGATTTTCGAAGAGAGATTTATCGGTATTAGGTGTATGAATGTAATTTGTGTGGGTCTAATCATTGGATATATAGGAGTTGTGATATGTACATTGTTGGTTTTAGGTATTTTTTTGGAGTGTTTTGTTTGTGATATTGAGGAGTTGGGGTACCTTTATACCGTAGCGCAATGCGATCGTTCATGTTCAAAGTGGTTGACATTGATAGCTTAAACATTGGGTTGATTCTCGGTTCCTTCTTTTATTCGTGGTGCAGGGTTTCATTTCCTAATTGTGTTTATGCCTCATTACAATCAGCTTTGGCTTCTTGTGAAATGGCTTGCACGTTTGATGAACGGATAGGCAAAATGCTCAAAATTTAGAACCTTTATCTGTAAAGCCTCTTTGATGATACTGGATTTAATTATGCAAATCTAGAAACACAGATTATGGCTTTACTTGCTGGAGAAGAATTAGGTACTTAATTCCTGCTAAGATTAGGTCGAAGATATCTACTTTACACTTTCCTGGTTTTATAGTTAACTTTGGCTGGAAGATTAGATGGGAACTTGCGTCTCTGTTCTCTAAGACTCTAATTCTAGACCAAAATGTTGTCCGGGTTACTTGCCTTATTGTTGTTTCAACGTCAACTATATGGAAACAAAAGCGATGCAGTTTAGTAGCTCTTTAATTATTTATTTGCGCACTATAATAACTCTTAAATTCTGGTTAACTGTAAGTAGCTTGAACATCCCTGTAAATATTGTATCGGTGTAAAACTTATGCGGCAAAGCTGTATTTATACTGTCCTGATTACATTACCCATCTGAGAGCAGCAAGGTTTTTCTTGGCTTGTCTTTTTCAATCATATCTTCCCACTTCTTGCTTTATGCTTGAGTACATTAATCCCTCTTTTAAGATGTTATATGTTTGATATCAGGATTGATTAGTGACATTCGAACCCTGTGATTTGCTTTTGTTTTTGTTCCAGTCTTTTCACTGCAGACATGGAAAGGCTTATCTTTTCGATAAAGTGTAAGTGCAGTACTATTTTAATGTTGAAATTTTGAAATTGATTCATCCATAGCTATGCTGATGCATGCTTATGTACTTTTAGGGTCATGGGTGTGCAAGTTATTTTGGTCTCACTTGTGACAAAAAACTTGCTCATTCTATGTGCACGTATTTTTTCTTGTCCACCGATACAGAATGACTTATAGCAGCAAACCAAACATGGTTTGACGTTGGCCAGAAGATTTATTCATGTTGATAAATTTGAGAGCTTAACTTTAAGGATGGAAAAAGAAAGAGAATAATGAATCAATGACAACATAATATATTTGTCTCAAAAAAGCATTTTCGTTCACTTGAATCCTATGAAGGCGGCTTATGCATAACTCACACTTACTGCAGCTTATACATATGAATGCTGAATTAACCTTTCGTTTCCCCAATGGCAGTGTAAATGTCACACTTGGAGAGCAAGAAGAGCGGATCATGATAACAGGATTGCATACCGTTGCTGACATATTTTGTGTTTCATGTGGCTCAAATGTGGGGTGGAAATATGTAAGAAGATATTTTCTCCAAAGCTATGTTTTTTGTGTTGATATTTACAGTTCTTTCATCGCTGATGGCTGTATGAAACTCATATTTTGGTTATCGGTTTCAGGAGGCTGCACATGAGAAATCCCAGAAGTACAAGGAAGGAAAGTTTATCCTTGAGAGGTAAAACCAAATTGGTGTCTGTGGTTGCTGCATTAAAAGTTTTTAGAGTGATTTTCTTTGTTCTTTAGCAGATTTCAGATTCTCGGTCCTGATGGAAGCAACTACTCGATTGCTCTCGAAGCTCAGATTGGTGGAAGCGATGGTGATGACTGATGAGGCTTTGATTTACCATCCATTCAGGAAAATTGAACTATTAATTTCAAATGTAAATTCTTAGCAACCTATTTTCTTTCGTCGAGTAGGCTACTGGGATTAAAAATGTCTTCATCGATGATGTAGGCCAGGACTCTTTAAGTTCTTCGTACCGTCGTGAATTGCTAATTGTTTTAGAACATGGTCATTGAATACCAATACAGAACAGTTAATCAAGTTCTCGGATAAAAAAAATTAGTGTACATCTGGTTTGCTATTGCTTTTAGGTTCATTGGAGATGAATCCCCATGTGACGAGACTGAATCTCTAGTCTTTTTCGCATAGCCAAATTACGTGACTAGTAAGACACTCGTACGGGGATATATTCCGAAAGATAGGGCAAATGGCCTCATGGATTCAAGTTCTTGAACTAAGTACACTCTCGATGCTTATCCTATTCAACTGATTTCTCGATTGGTAAAAGAAACTATACGGAGTAGTAAATTTAATCTTAAAAAGAGACTACTAGTGCAGCAGGATTGTAGGAGAAGTGATTTAAAGCATTTGCCTCTGCACTCTCGAGGTTTGACTTTCTCTTCTTAAAAAAACAAACGAGTTTTAAATTAAATACTCTTAACCACTTGAGCTACAAGTCCCTTACAAAATGAACTTAAAGGCGCTGGATAAGAAGAAACACTCAAATTATTTGGTAAACAAAATAGATGATTCAAGAAGCAATGCAAATGTGAAGTAAATAAGTTCGTCTAGTCAATATTTCCGTCCATTAGCACTAAGTTTTAATCATTTTCCATGGAATATAGTAGTATTTTTATGTCACATAATTTGCCCACCATATGCATGTGGTATTCAACTCCCAATCCGAAAATCCAACCTAACACATCCACATATATACAAATAATCATGTGGTAATTTTTTTTTAAAGCAAGCACCATTTTTCTGATTTGCCCATAAAAAAAAAAAAAAATCCTTGATATGTATTTGGCTTTTGAATTTTAACTCAAAGGGGTAAATCGTAAAATGGCCAAAGCTCGCGCCACAGCTTCTGTTGTCGTCCCCTTCCTCACTTCATCACTCTCGCCGCCGAGCCGAAACCTTTAATCTCGATTAGGGTTTCTGCTATTTCTTCTTATGCAGCAAAAACCCTAAAACAATGAAGCCCCTCAATTCCTCACCGCTTCCTCCACTACGTCGCCTTCCTTCCTTAAACCCTAAATTCCTATCCTCCAAACCCCATTCAGAATCGCCACCATTTTCCGAGAATCCCAATCCGAGCTCAGGTTTTCCAGAGAAAATCGCTCCAAAATCTGATTTTCCCGGGAAACCCACTTTAGAAATCGAATTTCACGAAAACCCAGTTGCATCAGACCCCAATCAGGGCGAGTTCGCCGCCCCAACTTCACAAGACTCCGAATTAACACAAACCAGTGTGATTAGCACTCTTCTTAGCCACAAAAGCAAGCCATATTCGGCAGTTAAATACTTCAAATGGGCTGAGAGGGAGCGAGGCTTTGTCAGAGGTGTCGATGCCGTCTGTGTGTTGCTTCATATTTTGATGGGCTCTCCGAATACTCAGGAGCGTGCCAAGATGTTGCTTAACCAGTACGTTTCAGGTGATTCGGGCCCCGTTCCAGGAGTCTTTGTCGATCACTTGGTGGACTGCGCCAAAAGGTTTGATTTTGAACTAGAATCTCAGGTTTTTGGCTATTTATTGAACAGTTATGTTAGAGCCAATCGAATCGAATGTGCGATTGATTGCTTTAATAGAATGCTAGAGCTTGAGATGTATCCTTGTGTTACGTATGTGAATATTCTTTTAACAGAATTGGTTAGGAGAAATATGATTGGGGAAGCACGAGAGGTGTATGATAAAATGGCTTTGAGAGGAATTGGAGGTGATCGTGTCACTCTACACGTTATGATGCGTGGTTGTTTGAAGCAGGGGAAGCCGGATGAGGCAGAGGAGTACTTTAGAGAGGCGAGGGCAAGAGGGGTAGAACTTGATGCAGCATCATATAGTGTTGCTATTGAGGCTTTTTGTAAGAAACCCAATTCATGTTTGGCTCTGGAGTTGTTGAATGAAATGAGAGAAATGGGGTGGGTTCCTTCCATGGTCACGTTTAGTAGTGTCATCGCGGCTTGTGTGAAGCAGAGGAATATGGTTGAAGCCACAAGGATTAAGGATGGAATGGTAAGTTGTGGGAACCCAATTAATTTGGTTGTTGCTACAAGCTTGATGAAGGGTTATTGTGTGCAAGGGAATTTGGAGAGTGCTTTGGCTTTGTTCAATACGATTATAGAGGATGGACTTACTCCAAACAGGGTTACATATGCAATTCTTATAGAATACTGCTGTAAGAATGGGAACATGGAAAAGGCGTATGAGCTTTACAAGCAAATGAAACACATGGATATTTTGCCTGATGTCTTCATTGTAAATTATTTGATACGAGGATTTTTGAAATATCGGTCATTTGAAGATGCTTCTAAGTTTTTTGATGAGGCCGTTGAGTGTGGTGTTGCTAATGTTTTCTCGTATAATAATATCTTATCATGGCTATGTGGGAAGGTAAAGTAAGTGAAGCTTGTAGTTTATGGGATAAAATGATGTCTAAAGGTGTGGTACCTAATGTTGTATCCTACAATAGCAAGATACATGGCTATTGCAGAATAGGGAATATGGAGCATGCACATATTGTATTCGTGGAGATGCTTAAACGGGGTTTGAAACCAAATGATGTGACTTATTCTATCTTGATAAATGGCTACTTCAAGAACAGTGATGTAGGGCGTGCCTTTGATGTCTTTGATGATATGGTGGCTGCCAAGATTTCTCCCACAGGCTTCACAGTTGGCATTGTCATTGATGGCTTGTGCAAAGCTGGTCGTACGTCTGAGGCAAGTGAGATGCTAAAGAAAATTGTTGCAAGGGGTTTTGTTCCTGGATGTATTAGTTACAATACCATTATTGATGGGTATATCAAGGAGGGTGACATTAATTCTGCACTGGCTGTGTACAGCGAAATGTGTGAACGTGAAGTCTCCCCCAATGTTGTCACTTACACCAGCATTATTAATGGGTTTTGCAAAAGCAATCAAATTGATATGGCTTTGAAAATGTGGAATGAGATGAAAAACAAGGGCATTGAAGTGGATGTTACTGCATATTCTGCTCTCATTGATGGGTTTTGCAAAAGACGAGACATGAGAACTGCCCGTGAACTTTTTTCAGAACTCCTGCAAGTTGGTTTATCTCCAAATGTAGTTGTTTACAGTAGCATGATATCTGGCTTCCGGAATTTAAATAACATGGAAGCAGCTATTGACATGCACAACAAGATGATTAGAGACGGTATTCCTTGTGATGTGAAAGCATACACTACATTAATCGATGGATTGCTAAGAGAAGGTGAGTTACAATCTGCTACGGATCTCTACTCAGAGATGCTTCAGAAGGGAATTATACCTGATACAAACACATATACGGTTCTGATAAATGCCCTTCGTAACAAAGGACAGCTAGAGAGTGCACGCAAGAACTTGGAAGACATGGATAGGCGGGGTATGACTCCTAGTGTTCATTTTTATAATACTTTGATTACTGGAAACTTCAAGGAGGGTAATTTGCAAGAGGCTTTTAGGTTGCATGATGAAATGCTTGACAAAGGCCTTGTACCAGATGACAATACATATGATACTCTTGTAAATGGGAAGTTCCAAGGTACAAGGATTTGATTATTTTGTTTAAGACATGCCTTTCTGCATTCCTGCATTCTGTTTCCAAGCACTGGGTTGGGAAACAAAAATGCCTTTCAGCCTCATGCTTCAGATGTGGGGTGAGTTCCGAACCGTTGACATGCAGTATGGTTTGGGCAAGTAGGAGATGACGGCTTTTACTGATGCACTTCCCAAAGGTGTTGAGGTGCTGGTGTGGATTTATTGAAGCAGCTGCGGCATGTCTTGTCAGGGCGGGACCTTTGTTGGTTCCTATTCATCAATTGGTATCTTTGGAGTGAAAGGAATAATGGTCTGCACTTCTTCTCCCCTCTGTGATGGCTATTGTGGTGTGACCGTTTTCATGATCGCCATTCTTCATCTTCCCATATAGCCTCATCCAATTTCCACCGGAGGTTCCTCACGTTCAGTGCTTTAATATGGATGCAGTGCCTCTTCGGGGTTGAGAGGTGTTGGAGCAGTGGTTAGTCCATGGCGAATTGAGTTGCTGGACGCTTTTCCTGAAGAACCAACTGACAGCGTTACGGTTCTTCCGACAAAGAACCTTCGAAAGTCCTAGGATGAAACGGATGATTTTGTTTAGTCCGAGCGAGTCTAATTAAATGGATCATTTTGTTTTTCTGGTTAGAAGAGGTTCACCTTCCTGTAACTGTTGCTTCTAGTTAGTAAAAAGTTGCCCAACAGAAACAAAATATTGTTTATGAGCTCATCATTTATGCATGAAGCTAATTGCCTGCGACAGATTTTGACACAAGCCTACCGCGACAGGAGCGAATAATTGCTCTTAGGCACTTGAGTTTACATTCGCGCTACAGTGATTGAGTTGCCCTATCAGGAACATGGACAGAAATATCAGATATTGCAATTAAAGGACTGGTAGCAACCTTCTCGTTTGAACTTTGTCGTTCTAGATTCTCGGCTTTATTTCTTAATCTGCAATGTTGCATGATGATCACTCTTTAAAGATCAACTCGCCAAAATCAACCAAATCCGAAATTTTTTTAGTCATCTAACATTCATCTAATCATAGACAATTACAATTAAGCACCAAAATCTTGACAATGTTAGCTGTGCATTAAATGATTCATAATTTGGTTGTTAAGGGTGATCTAAAAAGTAAACGATTTTAATCAATGTGAATCACCAAGAATGAAAAAGGTAACCACAAAAGTAAGACAAGGATATTGGATTGAAAAGGTCGCTAACTTCTCCCTTGCAATTATGTGGTGATGCCCACCAGCGTGCAATTATTGTTCTTATTCCCTGCAGCCAGAAATGCATTATATGCGTTGGGGACGATAGGACCTGATCATTGTCTTGTTTATGTCTTTAGCACTGATTGCTCGGATCATCACCAAAAATTCCACACTTAATCTGACAACCACGTGCCCCTACCCACTGCATGGGGCTCAAAACATAGGGGATTAAGCATGCGACATGCCCTACGTCTCACTCGCTTCCGACCCCAAAAATACGGAAAGGGATCCTCTCCGATCCCTTCCATCAAATCCACAAAATCAATCAATTCGGGTCCTTGAAATTTGATCCAACGACTATAAAGATGAGGTTTCTTTAAAAGTTATAATAACTTTAGTCGTTTGATCAAATTTCCAAGGCCCGGATCAGGTAATTTGGTGGAAGGGATCCGGAGATGATCCCTTTTCCAAAAATACCACAAGTGACACAAACGTGTATTCCTATCCATACTCAAAATGTTGCTCTTATCTCATTTTTGTCTCGAAACTTAAAAACACACTATGTTTGGTACGCGGAAATGAAATTTGATAAAAAGCGATTCCTGGGTTTTTTGTTTAAGGATTGAAAATGGAAGGATCATTTTTGTTACTTATATTGTACTTTGTTGACATTTTAAGTGCGTTGATTTCGAAAAACGTGCCCTAAAATCATATTTAATATTTCATCACGAACCTTGGAAATCTAGTTCAAATGCTAAAAATCCTTTCTCGAACTGATTTGGAAAGACTTTGTCTTAAAATTTAACATATGAAACACGTATGTACTGTTATATCATATTTCATCGTCAATTCTAATGAGACTAGCAACTCAAAATTACACTAGTACACAAAATGCATGTTTAAAATTTTCTAAAACTTAAATTACATATTCAAAGTGAAAATTATCTTAAACTAAAAAAGCCTAAAAGTGTAGATTTATTGATAAAGAAAAGAATTAAAGAACTTTTTAGCTGAATAAAAATAAGAGTCATATGAATGATCCTTTTCAGGTTGGGCTTTTTTTGGGCCATAGGTTAGTGACCAATCACGGTAATCTGCAATCTAATCGGGGCCCACGAATTGAGCAAGATACCCAAAATTTAAACCACACGATTCTCGGGGCGGGACCCACGCCATGCGCCCCTTTTAAATTCGCCGACCAACAGCATCCGTCCGATGCTTAGGTCATCTCGAGGAAAGGAATCCAACAGCCCACGTTTAAATCCGAGCATCTTTTGAGCAACGAAGTTTGAATTAAATTCCTCGGCGTTTTAATACGACGTGTCGTGTCAAAGGCTCCTGGCTTCTAGCATGTGCCACTGTTAACGGGAATGTTTCTATCCCGTTTTAAATCTCATAATTAAATGGGTTTGTCGTTGCACTTAATTACAATATTGCCACAGATTTCGTCATTAACATCAAATCTGGGATATTGTTCTCTCAATTATTATTAGAAAATGAAATGTTACCTATTAATTATGAGATTACTTTTATTGCAAGTAATCAAGTATTTTATGCAAGTTTCAATCTTTTATGGAGAGTAGGATTCTCTTCCTTTCAAATTCCTCTTCTTTCTAGTCCTCTCACTGTGGTAGAGTCAGGGTTCTACATGAGGAAGTGCCTTTCATATATGTATGAGAAAATTTTTGAACTCATTGCGTGAGTAATTGAAGTAATTTTTACAAAACTGAAAGACCCATTCAGTTTAATAGAGAGAATAAAAAAAACTTTGCAATACAACTTAGTGGGAGGTAAAGAGTAGGGTAACCGCTAAAAAATTTAAAAATATAGAAAGAACATACACAAATAATTCAAGTTTGCATCTTTTCGAAAGAGGAGGGCAAAAGGGACGTACACAAATAATAGATGAATATGTTGTTTTAGAAATAATATTAAAATCTTAAACCCCCATTTACAAACTCACCAAAAATGTATAACATGATCCGACTCAACTTCTTCACAAGAAACAATCCATCTTATTCCTCATGTCTCATAGTAACTGCAAGCTTGGGACCGCTGAGAAATTTCTCACACCGTAGTCAAGGTGGGCCCGGGACCACTCTAGTCCCTTAGTGACTCAGTCCTTACCATTTTCTATTTGAACGGTTACGATTAAGTCACGTTAACATCTGGTGTTGACATCTTTATAAAAAGGGAAAGAAAAAGAGGAAAGTGAGAGAGGAGGAGACTAAAAGGGAGGGGAGGAGATTTGAAGGAGAGAGAATCATACTGTGATGTATGAAGATATTTTCTAATAAAATTAAACTTGTTTATCATCAAAATTCATAGGGTTATCTATTAATTGATGATTGATTTTATCTTATGCTTAACTGCAAAACCTAGGTATGGTTGAGGTTGCTGTCATAGCATAGTATTTTCTATCACTCAACATATTATGTTGTCAGATTGTCAATCTTAATCACACATTTTACGTGATCACTAGTCATACATAATATTAAAAATCAAGAACATAATATATATACCAAATTAATAGGCTATAGTTACAAACAATGTGAAAATTAACCTCATGTAATCCTCTCCCAATGACTTCTTACAAGCTAAATTGTTAAATTAAAAATTTTGTAACTCAAGTTGTTAATAACGTTAGCCTTGCACACTTAAAATTACGTGTTCAAATCTTGATCATCCTCTTTGCAAATATTATGAGCATCTTATAACAGGAATTCTAAGCTTTTCACTAACCCCAAAATCATTTAGTTTCAGTCATGTTTTTTGTTGAGTTCGTGTGTAGAGTTCCGGTGTTTTATCCTGCTCAGGTGTTTCCTACACCACCACGTTCTTTTTGTTGTCTGCCGTTTTCAGCGGTGTTGCTCGAGAATTTCCCGGCGCTTATTTTTATGGTTGTTTTTTCTCTCATCAACTATCTCTGGTTGATGGCTATGTGCAAGTGGCGTCTATGGAGGTGATGATTGGTGGTGGACATAGAATCGGATGGCTGGCTGATTCTTAGATCGGTGGTGGAGAGCACAGTGGATGGTTCTCGGACATTCTGTTGTGTTTGAGCTTCACTGTTGTTGGGCTCATTTTCTGTGATTTCTTTGTTTTTAGACCAATTCTTTGTTTGTTTATAGGAATAAATTGGGCCTTTGTTTGTTTTGTAAATGTGTGTTTGTTTTAATAAAAGTTCCTCGGTAACGATCCTGTTGGATCCCAAAGACTAAAACAATAACAAAATAAAAATGCTTTCAATAAAATTCACATGCATCACGAATCTTGTATCTTCACGTGTCTACCGTTTATGAGGAAAATGATCAAGAGAAGGCCACGTCTCGCAAGAGCAAATCCAATGGCACAGTCGTAATTATCCCCATATCTCAGCCCATATTCAGCACTAATCTTCATAAATTACCCACATTAAATAAAATATTAATTTCCCAATGCCTTGTTTTTTTGTTCAAATTTCTAAATGCTTCCAAAACGAGAGAGAGAGAGAGAGAGAGAGAGAGCGACTGACTGAGAAATTCTATTTCTTGTCAAAGCAATCAGAAAAATACTACAAAAAAAACTCAGCACCCGAAATTTCAGCTGAAATTCTCCGCTCCTCTCTCTCTCTTTTCGAAGCCTCTGTGTTTGCTGAGCTGCAGAGTCGACCATGGAAGTTACTGTGGAGTCGAGGGCGCGAGAACGGAGCTTCGGGAAGGTGGTGAACGTCAACGACAGAGACGAAGAGCTCGCTCTGTTTCTTGAGATGCGGAGGCGCGAGAAGGACAAGGAGAAAAATGGCGGCTTTCTCCTCCTTCCTCCGAACAAGAACGTCGACGAGCTCGACCCTATTGGCGCTGCTGCTGCTCCTCCGGGTACGACGGCATTTGGGTTTCTTGTTTTTGGTTTCAAGTTTCGGTCTTCGTTGTTTTTTTGGGTTTTGAGGTTGGTTTTGATGGTGGGCTGTGTTTGGTTTCTGCAGAATCTGACAACCGCGGAGGCGCAGCGGTTTCCAGGACTGTTGGGACGGTGGCGCCGCCCCAGCCGAAGATCCGGGTGGATGAGTTTTTAAATTCGGAGAATGAGAAATCTGATTACGATTGGTGAGTAAATTATTGTCAAAGCTTAAGTCTTTGATTTTATGCTTATTTTTTGGTGGGATTAAATTTCCGTAGGACTAATCAAAGTTTAAGTCTCTGGTTATGGTAGCTTGTTGAATTGATGAAGAAAACTGTTGGGTTTCTAAATTGGGTGGGATTAAATTATCCTAGGACTAATGAACTGGGATCTGATTTCTGAAACATTTTGCTGAGGTGTTTGAAAAATCAGGGGCGGTTCTGCTTCTAAGGACTGTTTTCAAGAAAAACTGGTTGAGCCTTCATATGACAGAAATCCTTGTTCAATTTTGTAGACTTCTAGTTCTCACTCTAATCTCTATGCTTTGGTCTGGACTCCGGCGTCGTAGTAATGTTGAGTCATTTGTTGTGGTATCGGATTTATCGGTGATCTTTTCTGTGTCCAGGCTTC